GCTCATGTCGCCTCGTTTTCAGCCCCCCCGCCTGTTCAATCTAGCCGCGACGTAGACGGAAACCGCGCACGGGGCGCTTACCGCCAGGGAAAGGCAGCGCGGAGGGAGGCGAAATTGCTACGTTCGTAGCGATTAAGCAGCCCTCCCCTTGCGCGCCTCCCGAAGCGCGTTTTCTGCCTAGAGCGTTTTAGCCGCCCACGTTTGGCACACAAGCCGCCCCACTCCCCCTTTTGCTCACTCCCACCCTGCCGTGCCTCGTCGCGCACTCGTGCATGCCACCCACACGTCGTAATTTTACCCCGTCGCCACCCACATAGTCACCTCCCTGCTCACACCGCCCCTTTCCCCCTCACACGCGCGCTTTAGCCACCCCGCCACCTAACCTCTTTCCCTAACGGCGCTTAGCTAGCAGAGGCCGCCCTGTTTCTGGAAACCGTAGGAAATAAGAGGAAACAACTTCAAGGAAAAAAGAAAAGAAAAAGAAATTCATATAAATCCGAAAAAACCAGGAAAAATCAGAAAGGCAGCTTACACCTTGTTCTCCCAACCCTCCAGGGCCCCACCCAGTCCGCCACCCCCCCATTCTGTTTCATCATACTACACCACACCCTCCCCTTTTGCCCACCAGCATTACCGCCCCTCTCCCCTTATCCCCCACCACGCCCCAAGCAGGCCTTTCTCCCCCCAGCCTCCCGTCTCCCTGCCCTTAGTACCGCCGCGCTCTGCCGTGCGTCCACCCTTGCCCCACTTCATACCACCTCCCCCTTCCTCTCCCCCCCCCCCCGGCTTCTCCCTATCATCACCCGCATGTTCCCCCACTCCCTGTCCACAACGTCCCTCCACCCCCTTCCTGCTTTCCCCACTCCCACTCTGCCCCCCACACCTCTACGAGCCGTACTTCCCCCTCCAGCCTCCCTTTCCCCCCCAGCTACTTCCGCATCCAGCGTGGGCTGCACCTCTGCATCCGCCCTGCCAGGCCCTTCGGTGACCCAACTGCCGCCACCTGGCACCACGCCGCCTTTCCCACCCCCATCCAATCTCTACACCCCCTGCCCCTGCTCCCTGCGCAATCCAGCCACCTACCCCAGCCTCCCTCTACCTCTCCCTAACTCCACCACCGCCGTTCCTACCCCCAGCCAAGGTCTACACCCCTTGCTTTTGCTCCCTGGGCTGTGCCGTCCCCAAACCTCCTCCCGCCTTTCCGCGGCACCAGACCGCCTCTCCCTCCCCAGCCAACTTTTGCACCCCCTGTTCCTGCCCCTTGTGCCCTCCAACACCCTACCTCAACCCCCCCCAGTCTCCCCCTTCTCCAACACCCTCCATATTTCCTCCCCCCTGGGGCTCGCCCATCCGCAGCTATCACCCTTCATCGATTCCCCAATTCCCTCTGTCCCCTGTTTCCCGGCCCCGCATCCTATCCTGCATTTACCACAGCACCTCCTTTCGGTGCCCTCTCTGCCCTCCCACGTTCTCACCCCCCGCCTCCCAACCTTCTCATTACCCGCTACCAGGCTCACGCCAACTCGACTACCCACTACCCTTTGCCCCTTCCTCTCTGTTCCCCACCCTTCCTTTCCCACCTGGCTCCACCTGCCCACCCCCACCTCCCGTGGAATTCTGCCCTGCCCTCCCCACCTCTGGCCCACCACCTGTCCCCACACCCTGCTCACCCACCGCTACACCACCCCCGCCCCCCCACCTCCACTACAGCCCGCCAACACTTCCCCTCTCAATCGGCCCCCAGCCCGCCCCCCCCTTGGGCCCCAATCCCCTCCAACTGTCAGGCCCCCTCTACCCTCTCTTCCACCCACTGCGCACCGCTTTCCCCACCCTTTTCCCCTTTCCCCAAGCTAACCCCCCGCACCCCGGCCTCTGCCAGGGAGTTCCTTCCCCCTTTGACGCCCTCTTGAGCCAACCCCAGCAACTCACACCGCCACCGCCAGGCATGCTGCCTCTGTAACAATGCCCCAGCACCCCGCGAGTGGGGGAAAGGCAGGCCCGGGAGCCCCTCGGCGATCTGGGAGGTCCCGCAGCCGAGCCACCCCCTACTCTCCCACTCCCCCCACTTCAACAGTCAGGAAGAAACAACACACACCTGACCAAGCGAAAACACTCACACAATCTGACCCTAGGGGCCAGAAGCGTACCTTTGAAGAGGATGGAACAGAGGAACGCCAAGCCCCACTGGAGGAAATACACGAGGAGGAGCCAGCACGCTCAAAACCGCGCCCTACCCCCGCTGCCCCATCCCAGTCTACCCCCCCTTCAGGTGACAGCGGGGGCGGCACCCATGCATGCTCAGTAGAGAGATCCTCCAACTCACTCGCTACCTCCCATTCGCAAACCAGATTACTTGTGAAAACACTTAATCCTACCCGCACCCCCAAGCACATAGAAGCGGGAGAGGGCAGAGCCAGGGGGGAACTTGCAGCTGACACTGCACGGGAAGGGGTAAGTGAGTTTGTGTGTGAAGGAGCAGCAGAGGCTACAGAGGATGGGGCAGCAAAGGCTGCACGGGAAGGGGCAATGGGGGTTGTGGGGGAAGGGGCAGCAGAGGCTGCAGAGGAAAGGGCAGCAGAGGCTGCAAGGGAAGGGGCAGCAGCGGCTGCACGGGAAAGGGCGGCAGGGGCTGCACGGGAAGGGGCGGCAGGGACCGTGACTCTGGCCAGGCAAAGGGCAGAGGCCATGGAGACAGGTTTTGCAGGAGTAGGGGCCACGGAACCTGCTGCTGCGTCGGCTGGGGGAACCGCAGCAGAGGAGGCTATAGGGACCGCACCAGGTGAGGCCGCACAGACCACAGCAGGTGTGGCTGCAGGGATCACAACGGGTGAGGCTGCAGGAGGGACCATGGCAGGTGAGGCCGCAGGGAGCGCAGTAGGTGAGGCTGCGGGGAGCGCAGCAGGTGAGGCTGTAGGGGGCGCAGCAGGTGAGGCTGCAGAGAGCGCAGCAGGTGAGGCCGCAGGGAGCGCAGCAAGCGAGGCTGCAGGGAGCGCAGCAGGCGAGGCTGCAGGGAGCGCAGCAGGCGGGACTGCAGGGGCCACAGCAGGTGAGGCTGCGGCGGACGCAGCAGGTGAGGCTGCGAGGGCTGCATCATGTAAGGTTGGGCAGACTCTAGCAGGTGAGGCTGCACAGTCTACAGCTGGTGAGGTCGCATGGACTGCAACAGGTGAGGCCGCAGGGACTGCAGCAGGTGAGGCGGCAGGGACCACAGCGGATGAGGCTGCAGGCGGGACCATGGCAGGTGAGGCCGCAGGGAGCGCAGCAGGTGAGGCTGAAATAGCCGCAGCAGGTGAGGCTGCAGAGGCCGCAGCATGTGAGGTTGAGCAGATTCTAGCAGGTGAGGCTGCACAGACTGCAGCAGGTGAGGCCGCAGGGACTGCAGCGGGTGAGGCTGCAGGGACTGCAGCACGTGAGGCTGCAGGGACTGCAGCACGTGAGGCTACAGGGATCGCGGCTGGTGAGGCTGAGCAGATTACGGTAGGCGAGGTTTTACAGACTGCAGCAGTCGAGGCTGCAAGGACTGCAGCAGGAGCGACAGAGGCCACAGCGGGGGCTGGTATAGGGGGAGGTGCTACGGGTGCAGCGGGGAAGGGGGTAACGGGGACTGGTGCGAGGGAGAGTGCCGCCCCGGCTGTAGCAAGAGAGGGTACGGCAGGGGCCTCAAAGGCAGAAGGTGAGGCTGCAGCTGAAGCAGCAGGGAGGGCCATAGCACGGCCAGTAGGGGCGGCAGGGGCCGCAGCAAACTCGGGGAAACACACAGCAGGGCCGGCAGGGCCGGCAGAGACTGCAAAAGGGGCTAGCAGTAAAGCGGCAGCAGGCGGGGTGGGCTTGGGGGACATAGGGGCAACAGGGGAAGGAGAGGGGAGGGTGGTCCCGACCGGGGTGGGCACTGAAGAGGGGGATGTGATAGCGATAGAGGAGGATGAGGGAGAGGATGTGATGCACATTGACGGGCCACTGGCCCAATACCTCACGCTTGACGGTGAGGCCGACCCGGCCCCCCTGCAGCCTCACGTCGAGGTTCCCCCTCTACCCCCCATGCCCGTCCCCATGCTAGCAGAAGGACCGATGGAGGGGCTGGGGGAGACCTTGAGGACAGAGCCGCGCGAGGGAGCCCCCATCCTCACCTCCCGTCCTCCAGCCCACCAGCCCCCAGGAGCACCACTTCCCCACCCCCACCCTCAGGTCCCGGTAGTGTCCAGGGGGGCAGCCAAGGCCCTGGCCTTCTTGGCGGAGCCGTGCTCCCCGACCCCCACGCTGCTCCATGGCCAGCCCCCCTCTCCGTCCCCAACGCCTGACCCCACGGTTGCAGGCGGTCCACCGGGAGAGCACGCGGGTGCGACAAGAGCAGAGTCACCCGAGGGCACCCCTTCTCTCACCTCTCACCCCTCCCCGCCCCTTCCCTCACTCCTTCCTTCACCCCCAAGGGCAGCACACCTCTGCCCCCACCCTCAGGGGCTCCTTAGAGCACCACGTGGAGCAGCCAGGGCTCTGGTCTTCCTAGAGGAGCCATGCTCCCCGACTCCTACCAACACCCAGCCACCCCTTACCGGCCCACTACCCCCTCCTCCACCAGGCCCCCCCCCACCCGGTAGTACACACATCTCGGAGGTTGAAGCATCTCTGCGGCCAAATCCCTCTCCCACACGCTACAGGCACCCAAACCACCCGAGTCGCCGCACAGCCCCAACACGCCCACCCAACAGGCTGCCCTCCCCACACCACCCCCCCCAGGCAGCCGAGACCCACCCGCAAGGGCTTGCGCCCCAGGCTCATGGGAGCGGCGGCACCCGGGTAGAGGGGCCCACAGGAGAGGCCACCACAGAGCCCACACAAATCTCTCTCCCCCCACCGTTTGTACCTCGCTCTAACCTCCACACTGGCCCAGCCCCTCGACCCCCACCTCCAACCCCCTCTCCCGGCCGGGTTCCCCACGAGTGGCCCCGTTGGGCAGCCATCACCCCCCACACACAGCTTGCCCGATCTGTTCCCACGGAGGGGGATGTTTCGAGGAGAGTGGGGATGCACACAGAGCACCCCCTGCCTGGCGAACCACCCATCCTCCCTCCACCCACCCCTTTGGCCCCACAGCCCCCCCTTCCTTCACAAACAGGCGCGGACAACCAGGTTGGCCGCCGGCGGAAGAACAGGGGCAGAGGAGGCAGAGGGTCAGCCCACGTACTCCCCCCTCCCTCCCTCCCCCACCAAGAGCCCCTCCCCACCTCACATCCCGTTGAACAATTACCAGGCCCTACCTCTACAGCCCGTCCACCAAACCTACACTCCCGCCCCGCTCCTGCACCTCCACAGGGCCATGGGAGCGGACCAGCCCACTCACCCCCATTCTGCCCCTCCCGTGCTGTGTCCCCCTCCCAGGTGGCGGCGGCCGCGATCGCTACTGGGAGGGGGGCCGTCGGGTTGAGGGATGCGCCCATGGCAGACGCCACCGACTCCCCCTCCCATCCCTCCCACCCCTTCCATGTCGACGACCCCCTACCGCAACCCATGGTGATTGGGGAGGGCCAAGGGGGCCTTCTAGGGCAGGGTCCACACCCGAGCTCCGCTCAGCCAGCACGCCCCACTCCACCCTCTACCCTGCCAGCCCTCCTACTCTCACCTACAGGCAGGCAGGTCTTCGAGACCCCAGAGGAGGTGAGGGCTGGCATTTCAGATTTGCTGGCGATACACCGCCTGAGCAGCTCTCCGGCTGCCCCCACCCTTCCAGTCCCACAGGACCGGACCCGGACGTATGCGGAGGTCACCCGGTCTGTCCCTTCTTTTATCCCCCCCGCCACTCAGCCAGGCGCGTCACTCCCGACCCCAATGGAGACGGACCGGGGTCTGAGGCCGTGTCACTCGCACCTAGACGGGGTGGCGCCTCCCCCCGTTCAGCCCGTGGCGCAGGAGGTCACCAGCAGTAGGGATGAGGCATCCGCCCCTACCGAGACCCCTCCGCCTGGGGTAGCAGAGCCGTCACTTGAACCGCACCCCGCCGAGGGGCAGGAGCACACCACGGCACACACTTCAGGCTCACCTCCACGTCCCCCCTCCCCAGCTTCAACACCGGTGCCGGCACGAGGCCCGGCCCTATCCTGTGCGACACCACCTCTATCTTCGCTGACACCCCCCCCCGCGCGGGGCTGGTGAGTCGTCTCCTCCCCTCATCCCAGGCGATCCTGTCGGAGCTCAGGCCGCCCACGGGGTCCCCTCTACAGCCAGTTCCGACGCCACGGCCCCGATTGACCCCGCCGACACGGCGACATCACCCGACCAGGTCGTGAGTTGCCCCACCTGCAGGAGCTCTCTCGCGAACCGACGCGCGCTCCAGCACCACATTCCCTTCTGCCATCCTGCGGACGCGGCTCGCAGGGCGCAGGCTGCCCATGATACCGCCTCGATCATCCCTTCCCTCTCACAGCCCCGTGCGACCGGGATGCAGTTCACCGACGCACAGTGGCAGACGCTCGACTCGGTGGACTGGACAGAGTACTTCTCGCCCGAGCGTATCCATACACGCCCTCTCCGACGTGTCCCGGAGAGGGTCCGCGGAGGATATCTTGACGTCCTCAGTGCGATCCTAGTCCGCATTGCCCAGGACCCGGAGGCTGCTGGCCCTACCTTCCTCCTCGCTGCAGCGCCGACTCTTTTCCTTGTTCCAGCGACGCCACCCGACCGCTCGCACACGGCTGCCATTGCAACGCGCATCTCTCGCTTTGGTCGAGGTGAGTGGGCTGAGCTAGTCTCAGATGCACTAGGCCGTCGCACACCCCTTCCTCGCCGCACAGGTCACCGGTCACGCACCGCCACCGATCCCTCTGCAGCAGATGAGCGCCGCATTGCACGTTGCCTTCGTCTGGCAGCGTGCAATGAGACCTCACGGGCGTGCGCGGCTCTCGAGTCCGCGGAGGCAGCCCCAGATACACAGGGGACGATACAGCGCCTGCAGTCGAAGCACCCCAACGCGGAGAGGCCGACCCCAGCTTGGCTGTCTGGCTTCCAGGGGTCCCCTCTCGTGCTCTCGGTGGATCACTTACGCCGCGCGATTTTCACAGCTCCGCGGGGCTCTTCGGGAGGACCGTCCGGTTGGGTCGCTGAGCACCTGCGAGACACTTTCCTAGCTTTCCCTCAGAGTCTCCATTTCCTCCTGGCCGTGTACCAGCAGTGGCTCCGAGGCCGTTGCGCTCCAGCTGCGCGCTCCTTGCTAGCGTCCTCCACCCTCGTGGCTCTGGCGAAGTCGAACATGGATGTTCGGCCGATTGCCATCGGCGAGGTTTTGGTCCGCATTCTTTCTCGGGCAGTTTGTCTCCAGCTACGTGACCAGATGGCGAGGGTCTTCTTGGCATCACAGCAGTTTGGGGTGGGGGTTACGTGCGGGACAGAGGTCGTAGTTAGAGGCGTCCGCCGCGCTCTGGCTGACCACCCAGACTGGGTGGTCCTGCAGCTAGACGTGGCGAATGCCTTTAACTCTTTCCACCGAGACAGGATGTTTCAGGCGCTGCAGGCCAGTCCGGAGTTTCAGTGTCTGATCCCCTTCATCGGCCTCTTCTACGGGACGCCCTCGGATCTCCACTACAGGTCAGGCACGGGAGTGGTCACGATGCACTCGGAGCGGGGCACTCGCCAGGGAGACCCTCTCAGCCCCTTCTTGTACGCTCTGACACAGCGTCTTGCTTTGGAGCCGGTTCTGGCGGAGGGGGATGTCCAGCTCTGGTCGTACGCCGATGACACGTACGTGCTAGGTCCCCCAGACAGGGTGCTGCACCATTTTGCCGAGATCGTGAGGCGCTTGGGCGAGATGGGCCTTGCAGCCCAGCCGCACAAGTGCCTCGTCTACCAGACAGAGTCCTTTCTGTCCAGGGATCTGGAGGCTTTCACGGGCCTAGGGATCGAGGTCGCACGCCGAGGGCTCACCGTGACAGGCGTACCGGTAGGCACCGTTTCGTTCGTGGAGCAGAGTCTCCCGGATCGTCTCGAGAGGATGGGGCGGGTGCTACCTTGGCTTCCGAGGTTGCGCCAGCCCCAGACAGCTGCCCGCCTTCTTTCGGCGTGTGTCAGCACTCGTCCGCAGTACCTGTCGAGGACCGTCCCTCCTTCGCCCGCAGTGATCTCCAGTTTTACACGGTGGGACGCACGCCTGGGAGAGACTTTTCAGCAGCTTTTAGCTTCAGGGACCTGGGCTTGTCGCGAGGACGTCCGAGAGGCCGCCCTAGACCAGATCTTCCTCCCCATCCGTCTCGGGGGTTTCGGCATTCGTCGCATGGCGCGCATGGCCCCGGTGAGTTTCGTGTGCTCCTGGGTGCAGTGTGCACCCATTCTCTGTTCTCTCCCTGCGTGTGGCGAGGTGTTTCGGCAGAGCTTCGCTTCAGGTGAGCCAGAGCAGATCGACCGGGCTCTGCAGACGGCGCTAGAGGGTCTCCCTCCTGACGTTCTCTCTCTCCTTCCCCCCTGGCCCTCTTGCGCTTCTGCCTCCCCCGATTCCCTTTTTGCAGGAGCGAGCCGTCTTCTGGAGGCGCATGCCTTGGAGGCCGTGCGTGCCCGTCACACCTCTCCCTTGCACCTTGCCCGTTTGACTTCCCTTCAGGGCGGAGGTGCAGGAGCGTGGTTGACGTCGGTGCCGTACGCCGACCCACTGCGCATCCCGGAGGCGCTGTGGCAGGCGGCTTCATCTTCTCGTCTTGGTCTCCCTATCCCCCAGTTAGCCCTTGCAGGTCAGTGCTCCTGCGGACAGGCGATTGACGACATGACGGTGCCTCATCACGCGGTTCGGTGCCCGCGTTACGGGGTCGCCACTACCATCCACGACACGGTGAAGTACATGCTTCGAGACTTTGCGGTCGAGGCGGGCTTCGCGGTAAAGGTGGAGGACTCTACGCTGTTCACACAGTTGGAGGCGGCTCGAGCGAGACTACTGGGACAGCCAGTGGTGGGAGAGGGGACACGGGCTGAGGGACCGGGGGAGCGGAGAGGCGAGGCGGGACAGCCGGGTGGCGGGGGACAGTGGGGACGGCACCAGCTGCGGGGTCAGGTGGAGCGAGGGACAGGTGGGCAGAGGGGACGGCAGGGGGAGCAGACGGGCCAGGACGGGGAGGGGGGACGGCACAGGCAGCAGCAGGAGAGCCAGTGGAGGCCGCGGGCCCAGGGCGCCGCGCCTCCAGGTTCGGCCTCGGGGGCGGGGCAGGGGCGGGAGCAGCAGAGAGCGGACGGAGGTACAGGAGGGGCAGCGGGATTGGGAGGGGAGGGCCAGGGAGTGAGAGAGGCAGCAGGGGATGGAGCAGGGGGGTCGGGAGGTTTGGGGGAGGGTAGGGAGGGGGAGGGGAGAGGACAGGTGGATGGAGGAGAGGAGAGGGGGAGAGAGACGATCGGAGAGGGGGCACCAAGGGACCAGACAGGGCAGCAGCCAGCGCAACAGCAGGGACCAGTCGGACGCACAGGCCGTGTAGGCACCGCCTCCCGCATTCCAGACCTCACCTGCCGCGACGTTGGCCAGGGTCTGATGGTTCTTGTGGATGTCTCCATAGCGGATCCACAGCGGGAGGGGAACGTGCAGCTGAGACGGGCGACCCCCACACAGATTGGAGTGGCAGCAGCTAGGCGGGTGCAGGAGAAGCTGCGTCACTGGGGGCCGCACTTAGAGGGGCTGCAGCCGGCACCACACTTTTACGCGTGCGTGGCGGAGACCTTTGGCCTTCTGAGTGAGCCGCTGCGTCAGTTTCTGGGGCTCTGCGCAAAGAGGATAGCACAGCGGAGGAGGGATAGAGGTGGGGGGGATGACGGATCGGCACGGATATTTGAGGCAGGACTCACTACACGCCTCTCCGTTGCACTGCAGCGCGCGCAGGCTCAATGCATGATCCAGCATGCGGTGCGGCAGTTAGGGAGGTCCGACGACGGGTGGATGCCCGCACCAGTCCCACTGGGTGCGGGGCAGGGAACTTGGCACCACGTCACAGGGTGCTTCGAGAGTGTGGCTGATATGCAGTATATATATGATGCATATGTGTAAAAAACAATAGTGGCTGTGCTTGAAACGCTGTGCCCGTGCGGTCGTGCGGGTTGCTGCCGTGTTTGGTCCTTTGGTGCTTCCTTCTCCTTAGTCTCTCTCTCTCTCTCCTCTTCTCTTCCCACCTCCCTCTTTCTGTTCCCTTCTTCTATCCTTCCCTTCTCTTCCTACCACCCTCTTCCTTTCCCTACCACTTCTTCTTACTCCTTCATCTTTCCTTCCTTTCCTTTCTTTCCCCCTTTTCCTACAAAATATATAAATCGTCCTCATAGCGCTTAGGCTATGTCGAAATTTCCTAGTCTTGGAAAAACCATTATATTCGGCTTGTATTTGCTCTTCCCTTATTAATGAATAACTGCTCTCGCCCACCGGCGCTTAGCTTCGGAGTTCTGATGGGATCCGGCGTAGTAGCCGAGGTATGATCGTACCACGTCAACCTCGTGCCCCGACCGCTACACACCCCTTGCCCGGGTCCCCCCCTTCATAGTCACACCCCCTGCCCCCTCATGCCATCCGCTCCCCCCGCCCCTACCCTCCGCGTGCCCGCTCCCTTGCCGCCTCTTTTGACCCTCCCTGCCCCCCCTCGCCGTTTCCCACCGCCCGCCATTCGCTCCTCCCCGCCCGTGCGCTCCCCTCCTTTACCTTCTCCTCCCCCCTCCCCTCCTCTGCTGCACGCCTCTTCCTTCCCCTCGCCGACCCACTCCACTCCCTGCCCCTCCTCAATCCGCACCCTGCCCCTCGTATCTCGCCCCCCTATGCTTGGTTTCTCCCCTCCCTGCCCCTCGCCGCCTTTCCCCGCTCCCCACCTCCCCCCTCTCCCTCCCGCCCCCCCCACTCTCCCCCCCCCTTGTCCTTGGCTTCCTACCTCCCTGCCTCACCTTTCCCCCCTCCGTGTGCTCAGCTTCTCCCCTCCCTGCCCCTCCCTCCTCCCCGCCCTGCCCCTCATTTTCCGCCCCCCCCCCCCCACGCCCGGTTTCTCCCCTCCCCGCGCCTCCCTTTCTTTCTCCGTGCCTCTCCTTTGCTCCCTCCCTGCCCCCGCCTGCCCATGCCCCTGTCTTTGGCTTCTCCCCTCCCTGCCCCACGTTTCTTCCCTCCCTGCCCCCCGTCTGCCCCTCCCTTGTTTTCCCCTCACCCATTGCTTCTCTCCTCCCTGCCCTTGATTTCCCACACCCCTGCCCTCGTTTCCTATCATCCATGCCCCTCGTTTCCCCCCTTTGTACGTTCAGCCTCTTCCCTCCCTGCCCCTCCCTTCCTCCCCCCCTGCCCTTTGCTCTCCCCTCGTTACGCTCCCTTCTCCCCATCCCTGCTGCCCTCTTACCACCATCAGCCCATCCCCACGACCAGCCCCCCTCCCACCCTTCAATCCCCCCCTCCCTCTCTCTCTCTCTCTCTCTCTCTCTCTCTCTCTTTCTCACACACACACACACACGCACACTCCCCTCCCCCACCCCCCCCCACCTACATCCTCCCATTCTGCCCCTCCCTGCCCCTTTCCCACCCCCTCGCACGCCCCTCACCTCCCACCTCCGTGCAACTGGTTTCCCCCCTATGGTGCCACCCTTGCATCGCTCGCCCCTCTGCTCACCCTCTGCCCGCCCCTTTTCCGTGCCCTCAGTTGGCCCAGCCCCTGCCCGTTGCTGCCCCTCCCCTTGCCCCCTCAACTCCCCTGCCCCCCGTACACCCCAAGTCCCATCCAACCGCCCCCACCCTCCCCCGGCTGCCCGTTTCCGCTCTCCACCCCCGCGACCGTGTGCGGCTTCCAACCGCCCAACGGTGGTGCGCACGGGGCGTTTCTTCGCATGGGCAAGCCTCCCCGGGGGCCCCCCACCCCGCTGGGTCGTTGTTTGGGCAAAAAAACGAAAAGAAAAGAATCGGACGCGCTAAAATCGTCCTTTCTTTTTCCCGCTTGCCCCTCCCCCGGCACGTGCCGAGCAAGGGGCATAAATGGGTACAACACGAGGACTTCCCGGGAGGTCACCCAGCCCAGTACTGCTCTCGCCCACCGGCGCTTAGCTTCGGAGTTCTGATGGGATCCGGCGTAGTAGCCTGAGGTATGATCGTACCACGTCAACCTCGTGCCCCGACCGCTACACACCCCTTGCCCGGGTCCCCCCCTTCATAGTCACACCCCCTGCCCCCTCATGCCATCCGCTCCCCCCGCCCCTACCCTCCGCGTGCCCGCTCCCTTGCCGCCTCTTTTGACCCTCCCTGCCCCCCCTCGCCGTTTCCCACCGCCCGCCATTCGCTCCTCCCCGCCCGTGCGCTCCCCTCCTTTACCTTCTCCTCCCCCCTCCCCTCCTCTGCTGCACGCCTCTTCCTTCCCCTCGCCGACCCACTCCACTCCCTGCCCCTCCTCAATCCGCACCCTGCCCCTCGTATCTCGCCCCCCTATGCTTGGTTTCTCCCCTCCCTGCCCCTCGCCGCCTTTCCCCGCTCCCCACCTCCCCCCTCTCCCTGCCCCCCCCACTCTCCCCCCCCCTTGTCCTTGGCTTCCTACCTCCCTGCCTCACCTTTCCCCCCTCCGTGTGCTCAGCTTCTCCCCTCCCTGCCCCTCCCTCCTCCCCGCCCTGCCCCTCATTTTCCGCCCCCCCCCCCCCCACGCCCGGTTTCTCCCCTCCCCGCGCCTCCCTTTCTTTCTCCGTGCCTCTCCTTTGCTCCCTCCCTGCCCCCGCCTGCCCATGCCCCTGTCTTTGGCTTCTCCCCTCCCTGCCCCACGTTTCTTCCCTCCCTGCCCCCCGTCTGCCCCTCCCTTGTTTTCCCCTCACCCATTGCTTCTCTCCTCCCTGCCCTTGATTTCCCACACCCCTGCCCTCGTTTCCTATCATCCATGCCCCTCGTTTCCCCCCTTTGTACGTTCAGCCTCTTCCCTCCCTGCCCCTCCCTTCCTCCCCCCCTGCCCTTTGCTCTCCCCTCGTTACGCTCCCTTCTCCCCATCCCTGCTGCCCTCTTACCACCATCAGCCCATCCCCACGACCAGCCCCCCTCCCACCCTTCAATCCCCCCCTCCCTCTCTCTCTCTCTCTCTCTCTCTCTCTCTCTCTCTTTCTCACACACACACACACACGCACACTCCCCTCCCCCACCCCCCCCCACCTACATCCTCCCATTCTGCCCCTCCCTGCCCCTTTCCCACCCCCTCGCACGCCCCTCACCTCCCACCTCCGTGCAACTGGTTTCCCCCCTATGGTGCCACCCTTGCATCGCTCGCCCCTCTGCTCACCCTCTGCCCGCCCCTTTTCCGTGCCCTCAGTTGGCCCAGCCCCTGCCCGTTGCTGCCCCTCCCCTTGCCCCCTCAACTCCCCTGCCCCCCGTACACCCCAAGTCCCATCCAACCGCCCCCACCCTCCCCCGGCTGCCCGTTTCCGCTCTCCACCCCCGCGACCGTGTGCGGCTTCCAACCGCCCAACGGTGGTGCGCACGGGGCGTTTCTTCGCATGGGCAAGCCTCCCCGGGGGCCCCCCACCCCGCTGGGTCGTTGTTTGGGCAAAAAAAACGAAAAGAAAAGAATCGGACGCGCTAAAATCGTCCTTTCTTTTTCCCGCTTGCCCCTCCCCCGGCACGTGCCGAGCAAGGGGCATAAATGGGTACAACACGAGGACTTCCCGGGAGGTCACCCAGCCCAGTACTGCTCTCGCCCACCGGCGCTTAGCTTCGGAGTTCTGATGGGATCCGGCTAATAGCTGAGGTATGATCGTACCACGTCAACCTCGTGCCCCCGACCGCCGGGTCCCCCCCTTCATAGTCACACCCCCTGCCCCCTCATGCCATCCGCTCCCCCCGCCCCTACCCTCCGCGTGCCCGCTCCCTTGCCGCCTCTTTTGACCCTCCCTGCCCCCCCTCGCCGTTTCCCACCGCCCGCCATTCGCTCCTCCCCGCCCGTGCGCTCCCCTCCTTTACCTTCTCCTCCCCCCTCCCCTCCTCTGCTGCACGCCTCTTCCTTCCCCTCGCCGACCCACTCCACTCCCTGCCCCTCCTCAATCCGCACCCTGCCCCTCGTATCTCGCCCCCCTATGCTTGGTTTCTCCCCTCCCTGCCCCTCGCCGCCTTTCCCCGCTCCCCACCTCCCCCCTCTCCCTGCCCCCCCCACTCTCCCCCCCCCTTGTCCTTGGCTTCCTACCTCCCTGCCTCACCTTTCCCCCCTCCGTGTGCTCAGCTTCTCCCCTCCCTGCCCCTCCCTCCTCCCCGCCCTGCCCCTCATTTTCCGCCCCCCCCCCCCCCACGCCCGGTTTCTCCCCTCCCCGCGCCTCCCTTTCTTTCTCCGTGCCTCTCCTTTGCTCCCTCCCTGCCCCCGCCTGCCCATGCCCCTGTCTTTGGCTTCTCCCCTCCCTGCCCCACGTTTCTTCCCTCCCTGCCCCCCGTCTGCCCCTCCCTTGTTTTCCCCTCACCCATTGCTTCTCTCCTCCCTGCCCTTGATTTCCCACACCCCTGCCCTCGTTTCCTATCATCCATGCCCCTCGTTTCCCCCCTTTGTACGTTCAGCCTCTTCCCTCCCTGCCCCTCCCTTCCTCCCCCCCTGCCCTTTGCTCTCCCCTCGTTACGCTCCCTTCTCCCCATCCCTGCTGCCCTCTTACCACCATCAGCCCATCCCCACGACCAGCCCCCCTCCCACCCTTCAATCCCCCCCTCCCTCTCTCTCTCTCTCTCTCTCTCTCTCTCTCTTTCTCACACACACACACACACGCACACTCCCCTCCCCCACCCCCCCCCACCTACATCCTCCCATTCTGCCCCTCCCTGCCCCTTTCCCACCCCCTCGCACGCCCCTCACCTCCCACCTCCGTGCAACTGGTTTCCCCCCTATGGTGCCACCCTTGCATCGCTCGCCCCTCTGCTCACCCTCTGCCCGCCCCTTTTCCGTGCCCTCAGTTGGCCCAGCCCCTGCCCGTTGCTGCCCCTCCCCTTGCCCCCTCAACTCCCCTGCCCCCCGTACACCCCAAGTCCCATCCAACCGCCCCCACCCTCCCCCGGCTGCCCGTTTCCGCTCTCCACCCCCGCGACCGTGTGCGGCTTCCAACCGCCCAACGGTGGTGCGCACGGGGCGTTTCTTCGCATGGGCAAGCCTCCCCGGGGGCCCCCCACCCCGCTGGGTCGTTGTTTGGGCAAAAAAAACGAAAAGAAAAGAATCGGACGCGCTAAAATCGTCCTTTCTTTTTCCCGCTTGCCCCTCCCCCGGCACGTGCCGAGCAAGGGGCATAAATGGGTACAACACGAGGACTTCCCGGGAGGTCACCCAGCCCAGTACTGCTCTCGCCCACCGGCGCTTAGCTTCGGAGTTCTGATGGGATCCGGCGTAATAGCTGAGGTATGATCGTACCACGTCAACCTCGTGCCCCGACCGCTACACACCCCTTGCCCGGGTCCCCCCCTTCATAGTCACACCCCCTGCCCCCTCATGCCATCCGCTCCCCCCGCCCCTACCCTCCGCGTGCCCGCTCCCTTGCCGCCTCTTTTGACCCTCCCTGCCCCCCCTCGCCGTTTCCCACCGCCCGCCATTCGCTCCTCCCCGCCCGTGCGCTCCCCTCCTTTACCTTCTCCTCCCCCCTCCCCTCCTCTGCTGCACGCCTCTTCCTTCCCCTCGCCGACCCACTCCACTCCCTGCCCCTCCTCAATCCGCACCCTGCCCCTCGTATCTCGCCCCCCTATGCTTGGTTTCTCCCCTCCCTGCCCCTCGCCGCCTTTCCCCGCTCCCCACCTCCCCCCTCTCCCTGCCCCCCCCACTCTCCCCCCCCCTTGTCCTTGGCTTCCTACCTCCCTGCCTCACCTTTCCCCCCTCCGTGTGCTCAGCTTCTCCCCTCCCTGCCCCTCCCTCCTCCCCGCCCTGCCCCTCATTTTCCGCCCCCCCCCCCCCCACGCCCGGTTTCTCCCCTCCCCGCGCCTCCCTTTCTTTCTCCGTGCCTCTCCTTTGCTCCCTCCCTGCCCCCGCCTGCCCATGCCCCTGTCTTTGGCTTCTCCCCTCCCTGCCCCACGTTTCTTCCCTCCCTGCCCCCCGTCTGCCCCTCCCTTGTTTTCCCCTCACCCATTGCTTCTCTCCTCCCTGCCCTTGATTTCCCACACCCCTGCCCTCGTTTCCTATCATCCATGCCCCTCGTTTCCCCCCTTTGTACGTTCAGCCTCTTCCCTCCCTGCCCCTCCCTTCCTCCCCCCCTGCCCTTTGCTCTCCCCTCGTTACGCTCCCTTCTCCCCATCCCTGCTGCCCTCTTACCACCATCAGCCCATCCCCACGACCAGCCCCCCTCCCACCCTTCAATCCCCCCCTCCCTCTCTCTCTCTCTCTCTCTCTCTCTCTCTCTCTTTCTCACACACACACACACACGCACACTCCCCTCCCCCACCCCCCCCCACCTACATCCTCCCATTCTGCCCCTCCCTGCCCCTTTCCCACCCCCTCGCACGCCCCTCACCTCCCACCTCCGTGCAACTGGTTTCCCCCCTATGGTGCCACCCTTGCATCGCTCGCCCCTCTGCTCACCCTCTGCCCGCCCCTTTTCCGTGCCCTCAGTTGGCCCAGCCCCTGCCCGTTGCTGCCCCTCCCCTTGCCCCCTCAACTCCCCTGCCCCCCGTACACCCCAAGTCCCATCCAACCGCCCCCACCCTCCCCCGGCTGCCCGTTTCCGCTCTCCACCCCCGCGACCGTGTGCGGCTTCCAACCGCCCAACGGTGGTGCGCACGGGGCGTTTCTTCGCATGGGCAAGCCTCCCCGGGGGCCCCCCACCCCGCTGGGTCGTTGTTTGGGCAAAAAAACGAAAAGAAAAGAATCGGACGCGCTAAAATCGTCCTTTCTTTTTCCCGCTTGCCCCTCCCCCGGCACGTGCCGAGCAAGGGGCATAAATGGGTACAACACGAGGACTTCCCGGGAGGTCACCCAGCCCAGTACTGCTCTCGCCCACCGATAGTGGCTGTGCTTGAAACGCTGTGCCCGTGCGGTCGTGCGGGTTGCTGCCGTGTTTTGGTCCTTTGGTGCTTCCTCCTCCTTAGTCTCTCTCCCTCTCTCCTCTTTTCTTCCCACCTCCCTCTTTCTGTTCCCTTCTTCTATCCTTCCCTTCTCTTCCTACCGCCCTCTTCTTTTCCCTACCACTTCTTCTTACTCCTTCATCCTTCCTTCCTTTCCTTTCTTTCCCCCTTTTCCTACAAAATATATATACCGTCCTCATAGCGATTAGGCTATGTCGAAATTTCCTAGTCTTGGAAAAACCATTATATTCGGCTTGTATTTGCTCTTCCCCTATTAATGAATAACTGCTCTCGCCCACCGGCGCTTAGCTTCGGAGTTCTGATGGGATCCGGCGTAGTAGCCGAGGTATGATCGTACCACGTCAACCTCGTGCCCCGACCGCTACACACCCCTTGCCCGGGTCCCCCCCTTCATAGTCACACCCCCTGCCCCCTCATGCCATCCGCTCCCCCCGCCCCTACCCTCCGCGTGCCCGCTCCCTTGCCGCCTCTTTTGACCCTCCCTGCCCCCCCTCGCCGTTTCCCACCGCCCGCCATTCGCTCCTCCCCGCCCGTGCGCTCCCCTCCTTTACCTTCTCCTCCCCCCTCCCCTCCTCTGCTGCACGCCTCTTCCTTCCCCTCGCCGACCCACTCCACTCCCTGCCCCTCCTCAATCCGCACCCTGCCCCTCGTATCTCGCCCCCCTATGCTTGGTTTCTCCCCTCCCTGCCCCTCGCCGCCTTTCCCCGCTCCCCACCTCCCCCCTCTCCCTGCCCCCCCCACTCTCCCCCCCCCCTTGTCCTTGGCTTCCTACCTCCCTGCCTCACCTTTCCCCCCTCCGTGTGCTCAGCTTCTCCCCTCCCTGCCCCTCCCTCCTCCCCGCCCTGCCCCTCATTTTCCGCCCCCCCCCCCCCCACGCCCGGTTTCTCCCCTCCCCGCGCCTCCCTTTCTTTCTCCGTGCCTCTCCTTTGCTCCCTCCCTGCCCCCGCCTGCCCATGCCCCTGTCTTTGGCTTCTCCCCTCCCTGCCCCACGTTTCTTCCCTCCCTGCCCCCCGTCTGCCCCTCCCTTGTTTTCCCCTCACCCATTGCTTCTCTCCTCCCTGCCCTTGATTTCCCACACCCCTGCCCTCGTTTCCTATCATCCATGCCCCTCGTTTCCCCCCTTTGTACGTTCAGCCTCTTCCCTCCCTGCCCCTCCCTTCCTCCCCCCCTGCCCTTTGCTCTCCCCTCGTTACGCTCCCTTCTCCCCATCCCTGCTGCCCTCTTACCACCATCAGCCCATCCCCACGACCAGCCCCCCTCCCACCCTTCAATCCCCCCCTCCCTCTCTCTCTCTCTCTCTCTCTCTCTCTCTCTCTCTCTTTCTCACACACACACACACACGCACACTCCCCTCCCCCACCCCCCCCCACCTACATCCTCCCATTCTGCCCCTCCCTGCCCCTTTCCCACCCCCTCGCACGCCCCTCACCTCCCACCTCCGTGCAACTGGTTTCCCCCCTATGGTGCCACCCTTGCATCGCTCGCCCCTCTGCTCACCCTCTGCCCGCCCCTTTTCCGTGCCCTCAGTTGGCCCAGCCCCTGCCCGTTGCTGCCCCTCCCCTTGCCCCCTCAACTCCCCTGCCCCCCGTACACCCCAAGTCCCATCCAACCGCCCCCACCCTCCCCCGGCTGCCCGTTTCCGCTCTCCACCCCCGCGACCGTGTGCGGCTTCCAACCGCCCAACGGTGGTGCGCACGGGGCGTTTCTTCGCATGGGCAAGCCTCCCCGGGGGCCCCCCACCCCGCTGGGTCGTTGTTTGGGCAAAAAAAACGAAAAGAAAAGAATCGGACGCGCTAAAATCGTCCTTTCTTTTTCCCGCTTGCCCCTCCCCCGGCACGTGCCGAGCAAGGGGCATAAATGGGTACAACACGAGGACTTCCCGGGAGGTCACCCAGCCCAGTACTGCTCTCGCCCACCGGCGCTTAGCTTCGGAGTTCTGATGGGATCCGGCTAATAGCTGAGGTATGATCGTACCACGTCAACCTCGTGCCCCGCTACACACCCCTTGCCCGGGTCCCCCCCTTCATAGTCACACCCCCTGCCCCCTCATGCCATCCGCTCCCCCCGCCCCTACCCTCCGCGTGCCCGCTCCCTTGCCGCCTCTTTTGACCCTCCCTGCCCCCCCTCGCCGTTTCCCACCGCCCGCCATTCGCTCCTCCCCGCCCGTGCGCTCCCCTCCTTTACCTTCTCCTCCCCCCTCCCCTCCTCTGCTGCACGCCTCTTCCTTCCCCTCGCCGACCCACTCCACTCCCTGCCCCTCCTCAATCCGCACCCTGCCCCTCGTATCTCGCCCCCCTATGCTTGGTTTCTCCCCTCCCTGCCCCTCGCCGCCTTTCCCCGCTCCCCACCTCCCCCCTCTCCCTGCCCCCCCCACTCTCCCCCCCCCTTGTCCTTGGCTTCCTACCTCCCTGCCTCACCTTTCCCCCCTCCGTGTGCTCAGCTTCTCCCCTCCCTGCCCCTCCCTCCTCCCCGCCCTGCCCCTCATTTTCCGCCCCCCCCCCCCCCACGCCCGGTTTCTCCCCTCCCCGCGCCTCCCTTTCTTTCTCCGTGCCTCTCCTTTGCTCCCTCCCTGCCCCCGCCTGCCCATGCCCCTGTCTTTGGCTTCTCCCCTCCCTGCCCCACGTTTCTTCCCTCCCTGCCCCCCGTCTGCCCCTCCCTTGTTTTCCCCTCACCCATTGCTTCTCTCCTCCCTGCCCTTGATTTCCCACACCCCTGCCCTCGTTTCCTATCATCCATGCCCCTCGTTTCCCCCCTTTGTACGTTCAGCCTCTTCCCTCCCTGCCCCTCCCTTCCTCCCCCCCTGCCCTTTGCTCTCCCCTCGTTACGCTCCCTTCTCCCCATCCCTGCTGCCCTCTTACCACCATCAGCCCATCCCCACGACCAGCCCCCCTCCCACCCTTCAATCCCCCCCTCCCTCTCTCTCTCTCTCTCTCTCTCTCTCTCTCTCTCTTTCTCACACACACACACACACGCACACTCCCCTCCCCCACCCCCCCCCACCTACATCCTCCCATTCTGCCCCTCCCTGCCCCTTTCCCACCCCCTCGCACGCCCCTCACCTCCCACCTCCGTGCAACTGGTTTCCCCCCTATGGTGCCACCCTTGCATCGCTCGCCCCTCTGCTCACCCTCTGCCCGCCCCTTTTCCGTGCCCTCAGTTGGCCCAGCCCCTGCCCGTTGCTGCCCCTCCCCTTGCCCCCTCAACTCCCCTGCCCCCCGTACACCCCAAGTCCCATCCAACCGCCCCCACCCTCCCCCGGCTGCCCGTTTCCGCTCTCCACCCCCGCGACCGTGTGCGGCTTCCAACCGCCCAACGGTGGTGCGCACGGGGCGTTTCTTCGCATGGGCAAGCCTCCCCGGGGGCCCCCCACCCCGCTGGGTCGTTGTTTGGGCAAAAAAAACGAAAAGAAAAGAATCGGACGCGCTAAAATCGTCCTTTCTTTTTCCCGCTTGCCCCTCCCCCGGCACGTGCCGAGCAAGGGGCATAAATGGGTACAACACGAGGACTTCCCGGGAGGTCACCCAGCCCAGTACTGCTCTCGCCCACCGGCGCTTAGCTTCGGAGTTCTGATGGGATCCGGCGTAGTAGCCGAGGTATGATCGTACCACGTCAACCTCGTGCCCCGACCGCTACACACCCCTTGCCCGGGTCCCCCCCTTCATAGTCACACCCCCTGCCCCCTCATGCCATCCGCTCCCCCCGCCCCTACCCTCCGCGTGCCCGCTCCCTTGCCGCCTCTTTTGACCCTCCCTGCCCCCCCTCGCCGTTTCCCACCGCCCGCCATTCGCTCCTCCCCGCCCGTGCGCTCCCCTCCTTTACCTTCTCCTCCCCCCTCCCCTCCTCTGCTGCACGCCTCTTCCTTCCCCTCGCCGACCCACTCCACTCCCTGCCCCTCCTCAATCCGCACCCTGCCCCTCGTATCTCGCCCCCCTATGCTTGGTTTCTCCCCTCCCTGCCCCTCGCCGCCTTTCCCCGCTCCCCACCTCCCCCCTCTCCCTGCCCCCCCCCCACTCTCCCCCCCCCCTTGTCCTTGGCTTCCTACCTCCCTGCCTCACCTTTCCCCCCTCCGTGTGCTCAGCTTCTCCCCTCCCTGCCCCTCCCTCCTCCCCGCCCTGCCCCTCATTTTCCGCCCCCCCCCCCCCCACGCCCGGTTTCTCCCCTCCCCGCGCCTCCCTTTCTTTCTCCGTGCCTCTCCTTTGCTCCCTCCCTGCCCCCGCCTGCCCATGCCCCTGTCTTTGGCTTCTCCCCTCCCTGCCCCACGTTTCTTCCCTCCCTGCCCCCCGTCTGCCCCTCCCTTGTTTTCCCCTCACCCATTGCTTCTCTCCTCCCTGCCCTTGATTTCCCACACCCCTGCCCTCGTTTCCTATCATCCATGCCCCTCGTTTCCCCCCTTTGTACGTTCAGCCTCTTCCCTCCCTGCCCCTCCCTTCCTCCCCCCCTGCCCTTTGCTCTCCCCTCGTTACGCTCCCTTCTCCCCATCCCTGCTGCCCTCTTACCACCATCAGCCCATCCCCACGACCAGCCCCCCTCCCACCCTTCAATCCCCCCCTCCCTCTCTCTCTCTCTCTCTCTCTCTCTCTCTCTCTTCTCACACACACACACACACGCACACTCCCCTCCCCCACCCCCCCCCACCTACATCCTCCCATTCTGCCCCTCCCTGCCCCTTTCCCACCCCCTCGCACGCCCCTCACCTCCCACCTCCGTGCAACTGGTTTCCCCCCTATGGTGCCACCCTTGCATCGCTCGCCCCTCTGCTCACCCTCTGCCCGCCCCTTTTCCGTGCCCTCAGTTGGCCCAGCCCCTGCCCGTTGCTGCCCCTCCCCTTGCCCCCTCAACTCCCCTGCCCCCCGTACACCCCAAGTCCCATCCAACCGCCCCCACCCTCCCCCGGCTGCCCGTTTCCGCTCTCCACCCCCGCGACCGTGTGCGGCTTCCAACCGCCCAACGGTGGTGCGCACGGGGCGTTTCTTCGCATGGGCAAGCCTCCCCGGGGGCCCCCCACCCCGCTGGGTCGTTGTTTGGGCAAAAAAAACGAAAAGAAAAGAATCGGACGCGCTAAAATCGTCCTTTCTTTTTCCCGCTTGCCCCTCCCCCGGCACGTGCCGAGCAAGGGGCATAAATGGGTACAACACGAGGACTTCCCGGGAGGTCACCCAGCCCAGTACTGCTCTCGCCCACCGGCGCTTAGCTTCGGAGTTCTGATGGGATCCGGCTAATAGCTGAGGTATGATCGTACCACGTCAACCTCGTGCCCCGACCGCTACACACCCCTTGCCCGGGTCCCCCCCTTCATAGTCACACCCCCTGCCCCCTCATGCCATCCGCTCCCCCCGCCCCTACCCTCCGCGTGCCCGCTCCCTTGCCGCCTCTTTTGACCCTCCCTGCCCCCCCTCGCCGTTTCCCACCGCCCGCCATTCGCTCCTCCCCGCCCGTGCGCTCCCCTCCTTTACCTTCTCCTCCCCCCTCCCCTCCTCTGCTGCACGCCTCTTCCTTCCCCTCGCCGACCCACTCCACTCCCTGCCCCTCCTCAATCCGCACCCTGCCCCTCGTATCTCGCCCCCCTATGCTTGGTTTCTCCCCTCCCTGCCCCTCGCCGCCTTTCCCCGCTCCCCACCTCCCCCCTCTCCCTGCCCCCCCCACTCTCCCCCCCCCCTTGTCCTTGGCTTCCTACCTCCCTGCCTCACCTTTCCCCCCTCCGTGTGCTCAGCTTCTCCCCTCCCTGCCCCTCCCTCCTCCCCGCCCTGCCCCTCATTTTCCGCCCCCCCCCCCCCCACGCCCGGTTTCTCCCCTCCCCGCGCCTCCCTTTCTTTCTCCGTGCCTCTCCTTTGCTCCCTCCCTGCCCCCGCCTGCCCATGCCCCTGTCTTTGGCTTCTCCCCTCCCTGCCCCACGTTTCTTCCCTCCCTGCCCCCCGTCTGCCCCTCCCTTGTTTTCCCCTCACCCATTGCTTCTCTCCTCCCTGCCCTTGATTTCCCACACCCCTGCCCTCGTTTCCTATCATCCATGCCCCTCGTTTCCCCCCTTTGTACGTTCAGCCTCTTCCCTCCCTGCCCCTCCCTTCCTCCCCCCCTGCCCTTTGCTCTCCCCTCGTTACGCTCCCTTCTCCCCATCCCTGCTGCCCTCTTACCACCATCAGCCCATCCCCACGACCAGCCCCCCTCCCACCCTTCAATCCCCCCCTCCCTCTCTCTCTCTCTCTCTCTCTCTCTCTCTCTCTCTTTCTCACACACACACACACACGCACACTCCCCTCCCCCACCCCCCCACCTACATCCTCCCATTCTGCCCCTCCCTGCCCCTTTCCCACCCCCTCGCACGCCCCTCACCTCCCACCTCCGTGCAACTGGTTTCCCCCCTATGGTGCCACCCTTGCATCGCTCGCCCCTCTGCTCACCCTCTGCCCGCCCCTTTTCCGTGCCCTCAGTTGGCCCAGCCCCTGCCCGTTGCTGCCCCTCCCCTTGCCCCCTCAACTCCCCTGCCCCCCGTACACCCCAAGTCCCATCCAACCGCCCCCACCCTCCCCCGGCTGCCCGTTTCCGCTCTCCACCCCCGCGACCGTGTGCGGCTTCCAACCGCCCAACGGTGGTGCGCACGGGGCGTTTCTTCGCATGGGCAAGCCTCCCCGGGGGCCCCCCACCCCGCTGGGTCGTTGTTTGGGCAAAAAAAACGAAAAGAAAAGAATCGGACGCGCTAAAATCGTCCTTTCTTTTTCCCGCTTGCCCCTCCCCCGGCACGTGCCGAGCAAGGGGCATAAATGGGTACAACACGAGGACTTCCCGGGAGGTCACCCAGCCCAGTACTGCTCTCGCCCACCGATAGTGGCTGTGCTTGAAACGCTGTGCCCGTGCGGTCGTGCGGGTTGCTGCCGTGTTTTGGTCCTTTGGTGCTTCCTCCTCCTTAGTCTCTCTCCCTCTCTCCTCTTTTCTTCCCACCTCCCTCTTTCTGTTCCCTTCTTCTATCCTTCCCTTCTCTTCCTACCGCCCTCTTCTTTTCCCTACCACTTCTTCTTACTCCTTCATCCTTCCTTCCTTTCCTTTCTTTCCCCCTTTTCCTACAAAATATATATACCGTCCTCATAGCGATTAGGCTATGTCGAAATTTCCTAGTCTTGGAAAAACCATTATATTCGGCTTGTATTTGCTCTTCCCCTATTAATGAATAACTGCTCTCGCCCACCGGCGCTTAGCTTCGGAGTTCTGATGGGATCCGGCGTAGTAGCCGAGGTATGATCGTACCACGTCAACCTCGTGCCCCGACCGCTACACACCCCTTGCCCGGGTCCCCCCCTTCATAGTCACACCCCCTGCCCCCTCATGCCATCCGCTCCCCCCGCCCCTACCCTCCGCGTGCCCGCTCCCTTGCCGCCTCTTTTGACCCTCCCTGCCCCCCCTCGCCGTTTCCCACCGCCCGCCATTCGCTCCTCCCCGCCCGTGCGCTCCCCTCCTTTACCTTCTCCTCCCCCCTCCCCTCCTCTGCTGCACGCCTCTTCCTTCCCCTCGCCGACCCACTCCACTCCCTGCCCCTCCTCAATCCGCACCCTGCCCCTCGTATCTCGCCCCCCTATGCTTGGTTTCTCCCCTCCCTGCCCCTCGCCGCCTTTCCCCGCTCCCCACCTCCCCCCTCTCCCTGCCCCCCCCACTCTCCCCCCCCCCTTGTCCTTGGCTTCCTACCTCCCTGCCTCACCTTTCCCCCCTCCGTGTGCTCAGCTTCTCCCCTCCCTGCCCCTCCCTCCTCCCCGCCCTGCCCCTCATTTTCCGCCCCCCCCCCCCCCACGCCCGGTTTCTCCCCTCCCCGCGCCTCCCTTTCTTTCTCCGTGCCTCTCCTTTGCTCCCTCCCTGCCCCCGCCTGCCCATGCCCCTGTCTTTGGCTTCTCCCCTCCCTGCCCCACGTTTCTTCCCTCCCTGCCCCCCGTCTGCCCCTCCCTTGTTTTCCCCTCACCCATTGCTTCTCTCCTCCCTGCCCTTGATTTCCCACACCCCTGCCCTCGTTTCCTATCATCCATGCCCCTCGTTTCCCCCCTTTGTACGTTCAGCCTCTTCCCTCCCTGCCCCTCCCTTCCTCCCCCCCTGCCCTTTGCTCTCCCCTCGTTACGCTCCCTTCTCCCCATCCCTGCTGCCCTCTTACCACCATCAGCCCATCCCCACGACCAGCCCCCCTCCCACCCTTCAATCCCCCCCTCCCTCTCTCTCTCTCTCTCTCTCTCTCTCTCTCTCTCTTTCTCACACACACACACACACGCACACTCCCCTCCCCCACCCCCCCCCACCTACATCCTCCCATTCTGCCCCTCCCTGCCCCTTTCCCACCCCCTCGCACGCCCCTCACCTCCCACCTCCGTGCAACTGGTTTCCCCCCTATGGTGCCACCCTTGCATCGCTCGCCCCTCTGCTCACCCTCTGCCCGCCCCTTTTCCGTGCCCTCAGTTGGCCCAGCCCCTGCCCGTTGCTGCCCCTCCCCTTGCCCCCTCAACTCCCCTGCCCCCCGTACACCCCAAGTCCCATCCAACCGCCCCCACCCTCCCCCGGCTGCCCGTTTCCGCTCTCCACCCCCGCGACCGTGTGCGGCTTCCAACCGCCCAACGGTGGTGCGCACGGGGCGTTTCTTCGCATGGGCAAGCCTCCCCGGGGGCCCCCCACCCCGCTGGGTCGTTGTTTGGGCAAAAAAAACGAAAAGAAAAGAATCGGACGCGCTAAAATCGTCCTTTCTTTTTCCCGCTTGCCCCTCCCCCGGCACGTGCCGAGCAAGGGGCATAAATGGGTACAACACGAGGACTTCCCGGGAGGTCACCCAGCCCAGTACTGCTCTCGCCCACCGGCGCTTAGCTTCGGAGTTCTGATGGGATCCGGCTAATAGCTGAGGTATGATCGTACCACGTCAACCTCGTGCCCGACCGCTACACACCCTGCCGGGTCCCCCCCTTCATAGTCACACCCCCTGCCCCCTCATGCCATCCGCTCCCCCCGCCCCTACCCTCCGCGTGCCCGCTCCCTTGCCGCCTCTTTTGACCCTCCCTGCCCCCCCTCGCCGTTTCCCACCGCCCGCCATTCGCTCCTCCCCGCCCGTGCGCTCCCCTCCTTTACCTTCTCCTCCCCCCTCCCCTCCTCTGCTGCACGCCTCTTCCTTCCCCTCGCCGACCCACTCCACTCCCTGCCCCTCCTCAATCCGCACCCTGCCCCTCGTATCTCGCCCCCCTATGCTTGGTTTCTCCCCTCCCTGCCCCTCGCCGCCTTTCCCCGCTCCCCACCTCCCCCCTCTCCCTGCCCCCCCCACTCTCCCCCCCCCCTTGTCCTTGGCTTCCTACCTCCCTGCCTCACCTTTCCCCCCTCCGTGTGCTCAGCTTCTCCCCTCCCTGCCCCTCCCTCCTCCCCGCCCTGCCCCTCATTTTCCGCCCCCCCCCCCCCACGCCCGGTTTCTCCCCTCCCCGCGCCTCCCTTTCTTTCTCCGTGCCTCTCCTTTGCTCCCTCCCTGCCCCCGCCTGCCCATGCCCCTGTCTTTGGCTTCTCCCCTCCCTGCCCCACGTTTCTTCCCTCCCTGCCCCCCGTCTGCCCCTCCCTTGTTTTCCCCTCACCCATTGCTTCTCTCCTCCCTGCCCTTGATTTCCCACACCCCTGCCCTCGTTTCCTATCATCCATGCCCCTCGTTTCCCCCCTTTGTACGTTCAGCCTCTTCCCTCCCTGCCCCTCCCTTCCTCCCCCCCTGCCCTTTGCTCTCCCCTCGTTACGCTCCCTTCTCCCCATCCCTGCTGCCCTCTTACCACCATCAGCCCATCCCCACGACCAGCCCCCCTCCCACCCTTCAATCCCCCCCTCCCTCTCTCTCTCTCTCTCTCTCTCTCTCTCTCTCTCTTTCTCACACACACACACACACGCACACTCCCCTCCCCCACCCCCCCCCACCTACATCCTCCCATTCTGCCCCTCCCTGCCCCTTTCCCACCCCCTCGCACGCCCCTCACCTCCCACCTCCGTGCAACTGGTTTCCCCCCTATGGTGCCACCCTTGCATCGCTCGCCCCTCTGCTCACCCTCTGCCCGCCCCTTTTCCGTGCCCTCAGTTGGCCCAGCCCCTGCCCGTTGCTGCCCCTCCCCTTGCCCCCTCAACTCCCCTGCCCCCCGTACACCCCAAGTCCCATCCAACCGCCCCCACCCTCCCCCGGCTGCCCGTTTCCGCTCTCCACCCCCGCGACCGTGTGCGGCTTCCAACCGCCCAACGGTGGTGCGCACGGGGCGTTTCTTCGCATGGGCAAGCCTCCCCGGGGGCCCCCCACCCCGCTGGGTCGTTGTTTGGGCAAAAAAACGAAAAGAAAAGAATCGGACGCGCTAAAATCGTCCTTTCTTTTTCCCGCTTGCCCCTCCCCCGGCACGTGCCGAGCAAGGGGCATAAATGGGTACAACACGAGGACTTCCCGGGAGGTCACCCAGCCCAGTACTGCTCTCGCCCACCGGCGCTTAGCTTCGGAGTTCTGATGGGATCCGGCGTAAGTAGCTGAGGTATGATCGTACCACGTCAACCTCGTGCCCCGACCGCTACACACCCCTTGCCCGGGTCCCCCCCTTCATAGTCACACCCCCTGCCCCCTCATGCCATCCGCTCCCCCCGCCCCTACCCTCCGCGTGCCCGCTCCCTTGCCGCCTCTTTTGACCCTCCCTGCCCCCCCTCGCCGTTTCCCACCGCCCGCCATTCGCTCCTCCCCGCCCGTGCGCTCCCCTCCTTTACCTTCTCCTCCCCCCTCCCCTCCTCTGCTGCACGCCTCTTCCTTCCCCTCGCCGACCCACTCCACTCCCTGCCCCTCCTCAATCCGCACCCTGCCCCTCGTATCTCGCCCCCCTATGCTTGGTTTCTCCCCTCCCTGCCCCTCGCCGCCTTTCCCCGCTCCCCACCTCCCCCCTCTCCCTGCCCCCCCCACTCTCCCCCCCCCTTGTCCTTGGCTTCCTACCTCCCTGCCTCACCTTTCCCCCCTCCGTGTGCTCAGCTTCTCCCCTCCCTGCCCCTCCCTCCTCCCCGCCCTGCCCCTCATTTTCCGCCCCCCCCCCCCCCACGCCCGGTTTCTCCCCTCCCCGCGCCTCCCTTTCTTTCTCCGTGCCTCTCCTTTGCTCCCTCCCTGCCCCCGCCTGCCCATGCCCCTGTCTTTGGCTTCTCCCCTCCCTGCCCCACGTTTCTTCCCTCCCTGCCCCCCGTCTGCCCCTCCCTTGTTTTCCCCTCACCCATTGCTTCTCTCCTCCCTGCCCTTGATTTCCCACACCCCTGCCCTCGTTTCCTATCATCCATGCCCCTCGTTTCCCCCCTTTGTACGTTCAGCCTCTTCCCTCCCTGCCCCTCCCTTCCTCCCCCCCTGCCCTTTGCTCTCCCCTCGTTACGCTCCCTTCTCCCCATCCCTGCTGCCCTCTTACCACCATCAGCCCATCCCCACGACCAGCCCCCCTCCCACCCTTCAATCCCCCCCTCCCTCTCTCTCTCTCTCTCTCTCTCTCTCTCTCTCTCTTTCTCACACACACACACACACGCACACTCCCCTCCCCCACCCCCCCCCACCTACATCCTCCCATTCTGCCCCTCCCTGCCCCTTTCCCACCCCCTCGCACGCCCCTCACCTCCCACCTCCGTGCAACTGGTTTCCCCCCTATGGTGCCACCCTTGCATCGCTCGCCCCTCTGCTCACCCTCTGCCCGCCCCTTTTCCGTGCCCTCAGTTGGCCCAGCCCCTGCCCGTTGCTGCCCCTCCCCTTGCCCCCTCAACTCCCCTGCCCCCCGTACACCCCAAGTCCCATCCAACCGCCCCCACCCTCCCCCGGCTGCCCGTTTCCGCTCTCCACCCCCGCGACCGTGTGCGGCTTCCAACCGCCCAACGGTGGTGCGCACGGGGCGTTTCTTCGCATGGGCAAGCCTCCCCGGGGGCCCCCCACCCCGCTGGGTCGTTGTTTGGGCAAAAAAACGAAAAGAAAAGAATCGGACGCGCTAAAATCGTCCTTTCTTTTTCCCGCTTGCCCCTCCCCCGGCACGTGCCGAGCAAGGGGCATAAATGGGTACAACACGAGGACTTCCCGGGAGGTCACCCAGCCCAGTACTGCTCTCGCCCACCGGCGCTTAGCTTCGGAGTTCTGATGGGATCCGGCTAGTAGCTGAGGTATGATCGTACCACGTCAACCTCGTGCCCCGACCGCTACACACCCCTTGCCCGGGTCCCCCCCTTCATAGTCACACCCCCTGCCCCCTCATGCCATCCGCTCCCCCCGCCCCTACCCTCCGCGTGCCCGCTCCCTTGCCGCCTCTTTTGACCCTCCCTGCCCCCCCTCGCCGTTTCCCACCGCCCGCCATTCGCTCCTCCCCGCCCGTGCGCTCCCCTCCTTTACCTTCTCCTCCCCCCTCCCCTCCTCTGCTGCACGCCTCTTCCTTCCCCTCGCCGACCCACTCCACTCCCTGCCCCTCCTCAATCCGCACCCTGCCCCTCGTATCTCGCCCCCCTATGCTTGGTTTCTCCCCTCCCTGCCCCTCGCCGCCTTTCCCCGCTCCCCACCTCCCCCCTCTCCCTGCCCCCCCCACTCTCCCCCCCCCCTTGTCCTTGGCTTCCTACCTCCCTGCCTCACCTTTCCCCCCTCCGTGTGCTCAGCTTCTCCCCTCCCTGCCCCTCCCTCCTCCCCGCCCTGCCCCTCATTTTCCGCCCCCCCCCCCCCACGCCCGGTTTCTCCCCTCCCCGCGCCTCCCTTTCTTTCTCCGTGCCTCTCCTTTGCTCCCTCCCTGCCCCCGCCTGCCCATGCCCCTGTCTTTGGCTTCTCCCCTCCCTGCCCCACGTTTCTTCCCTCCCTGCCCCCCGTCTGCCCCTCCCTTGTTTTCCCCTCACCCATTGCTTCTCTCCTCCCTGCCCTTGATTTCCCACACCCCTGCCCTCGTTTCCTATCATCCATGCCCCTCGTTTCCCCCCTTTGTACGTTCAGCCTCTTCCCTCCCTGCCCCTCCCTTCCTCCCCCCCTGCCCTTTGCTCTCCCCTCGTTACGCTCCCTTCTCCCCATCCCTGCTGCCCTCTTACCACCATCAGCCCATCCCCACGACCAGCCCCCCTCCCACCCTTCAATCCCCCCCTCCCTCTCTCTCTCTCTCTCTCTCTCTCTCTCTCTCTCTTTCTCACACACACACACACACGCACACTCCCCTCCCCCACCCCCCCCCACCTACATCCTCCCATTCTGCCCCTCCCTGCCCCTTTCCCACCCCCTCGCACGCCCCTCACCTCCCACCTCCGTGCAACTGGTTTCCCCCCTATGGTGCCACCCTTGCATCGCTCGCCCCTCTGCTCACCCTCTGCCCGCCCCTTTTCCGTGCCCTCAGTTGGCCCAGCCCCTGCCCGTTGCTGCCCCTCCCCTTGCCCCCTCAACTCCCCTGCCCCCCGTACACCCCAAGTCCCATCCAACCGCCCCCACCCTCCCCCGGCTGCCCGTTTCCGCTCTCCACCCCCGCGACCGTGTGCGGCTTCCAACCGCCCAACGGTGGTGCGCACGGGGCGTTTCTTCGCATGGGCAAGCCTCCCCGGGGGCCCCCCACCCCGCTGGGTCGTTGTTTGGGCAAAAAAAACGAAAAGAAAAGAATCGGACGCGCTAAAATCGTCCTTTCTTTTTCCCGCTTGCCCCTCCCCCGGCACGTGCCGAGCAAGGGGCATAAATGGGTACAACACGAGGACTTCCCGGGAGGTCACCCAGCCCAGTACTGCTCTCGCCCACCGGCGCTTAGCTTCGGAGTTCTGATGGGATCCGGCTAATAGCTGAGGTATGATCGTACCACGTCAACCTCGTGCCCCGACCGCTACACACCCCTTGCCCGGGTCCCCCCCTTCATAGTCACACCCCCTGCCCCCTCATGCCATCCGCTCCCCCCGCCCCTACCCTCCGCGTGCCCGCTCCCTTGCCGCCTCTTTTGACCCTCCCTGCCCCCCCTCGCCGTTTCCCACCGCCCGCCATTCGCTCCTCCCCGCCCGTGCGCTCCCCTCCTTTACCTTCTCCTCCCCCCTCCCCTCCTCTGCTGCACGCCTCTTCCTTCCCCTCGCCGACCCACTCCACTCCCTGCCCCTCCTCAATCCGCACCCTGCCCCTCGTATCTCGCCCCCCTATGCTTGGTTTCTCCCCTCCCTGCCCCTCGCCGCCTTTCCCCGCTCCCCACCTCCCCCCTCTCCCTGCCCCCCCCACTCTCCCCCCCCCCTTGTCCTTGGCTTCCTACCTCCCTGCCTCACCTTTCCCCCCTCCGTGTGCTCAGCTTCTCCCCTCCCTGCCCCTCCCTCCTCCCCGCCCTGCCCCTCATTTTCCGCCCCCCCCCCCCCCACGCCCGGTTTCTCCCCTCCCCGCGCCTCCCTTTCTTTCTCCGTGCCTCTCCTTTGCTCCCTCCCTGCCCCCGCCTGCCCATGCCCCTGTCTTTGGCTTCTCCCCTCCCTGCCCCACGTTTCTTCCCTCCCTGCCCCCCGTCTGCCCCTCCCTTGTTTTCCCCTCACCCATTGCTTCTCTCCTCCCTGCCCTTGATTTCCCACACCCCTGCCCTCGTTTCCTATCATCCATGCCCCTCGTTTCCCCCCTTTGTACGTTCAGCCTCTTCCCTCCCTGCCCCTCCCTTCCTCCCCCCCTGCCCTTTGCTCTCCCCTCGTTACGCTCCCTTCTCCCCATCCCTGCTGCCCTCTTACCACCATCAGCCCATCCCCACGACCAGCCCCCCTCCCACCCTTCAATCCCCCCCTCCCTCTCTCTCTCTCTCTCTCTCTCTCTCTCTCTCTCTTTCTCACACACACACACACACGCACACTCCCCTCCCCCACCCCCCCCCACCTACATCCTCCCATTCTGCCCCTCCCTGCCCCTTTCCCACCCCCTCGCACGCCCCTCACCTCCCACCTCCGTGCAACTGGTTTCCCCCCTATGGTGCCACCCTTGCATCGCTCGCCCCTCTGCTCACCCTCTGCCCGCCCCTTTTCCGTGCCCTCAGTTGGCCCAGCCCCTGCCCGTTGCTGCCCCTCCCCTTGCCCCCTCAACTCCCCTGCCCCCCGTACACCCCAAGTCCCATCCAACCGCCCCCACCCTCCCCCGGCTGCCCGTTTCCGCTCTCCACCCCCGCGACCGTGTGCGGCTTCCAACCGCCCAACGGTGGTGCGCACGGGGCGTTTCTTCGCATGGGCAAGCCTCCCCGGGGGCCCCCCACCCCGCTGGGGTCGTTGTTTGGGCAAAAAAAACGAAAAGAAAAGAATCGGACGCGCTAAAATCGTCCTTTCTTTTTCCCGCTTGCCCCTCCCCCGGCACGTGCCGAGCAAGGGGCATAAATGGGTACAACACGAGGACTTCCCGGGAGGTCACCCAGCCCAGTACTGCTCTCGCCCACCGGCGCTTAGCTTCGGAGTTCTGATGGGATCCGGCTAATAGCTGAGGTATGATCGTACCACGTCAACCTCGTGCCCGACCGCTACACACCCCTTGCCCGGGTCCCCCCCTTCATAGTCACACCCCCTGCCCCCTCATGCCATCCGCTCCCCCCGCCCCTACCCTCCGCGTGCCCGCTCCCTTGCCGCCTCTTTTGACCCTCCCTGCCCCCCCTCGCCGTTTCCCACCGCCCGCCATTCGCTCCTCCCCGCCCGTGCGCTCCCCTCCTTTACCTTCTCCTCCCCCCTCCCCTCCTCTGCTGCACGCCTCTTCCTTCCCCTCGCCGACCCACTCCACTCCCTGCCCCTCCTCAATCCGCACCCTGCCCCTCGTATCTCGCCCCCCTATGCTTGGTTTCTCCCCTCCCTGCCCCTCGCCGCCTTTCCCCGCTCCCCACCTCCCCCCTCTCCCTGCCCCCCCCACTCTCCCCCCCCCCTTGTCCTTGGCTTCCTACCTCCCTGCCTCACCTTTCCCCCCTCCGTGTGCTCAGCTTCTCCCCTCCCTGCCCCTCCCTCCTCCCCGCCCTGCCCCTCATTTTCCGCCCCCCCCCCCCCCACGCCCGGTTTCTCCCCTCCCCGCGCCTCCCTTTCTTTCTCCGTGCCTCTCCTTTGCTCCCTCCCTGCCCCCGCCTGCCCATGCCCCTGTCTTTGGCTTCTCCCCTCCCTGCCCCACGTTTCTTCCCTCCCTGCCCCCCGTCTGCCCCTCCCTTGTTTTCCCCTCACCCATTGCTTCTCTCCTCCCTGCCCTTGATTTCCCACACCCCTGCCCTCGTTTCCTATCATCCATGCCCCTCGTTTCCCCCCTTTGTACGTTCAGCCTCTTCCCTCCCTGCCCCTCCCTTCCTCCCCCCCTGCCCTTTGCTCTCCCCTCGTTACGCTCCCTTCTCCCCATCCCTGCTGCCCTCTTACCACCATCAGCCCATCCCCACGACCAGCCCCCCTCCCACCCTTCAATCCCCCCCTCCCTCTCTCTCTCTCTCTCTCTCTCTCTCTCTCTCTCTTTCTCACACACACACACACACGCACACTCCCCTCCCCCACCCCCCCCCACCTACATCCTCCCATTCTGCCCCTCCCTGCCCCTTTCCCACCCCCTCGCACGCCCCTCACCTCCCACCTCCGTGCAACTGGTTTCCCCCCTATGGTGCCACCCTTGCATCGCTCGCCCCTCTGCTCACCCTCTGCCCGCCCCTTTTCCGTGCCCTCAGTTGGCCCAGCCCCTGCCCGTTGCTGCCCCTCCCCTTGCCCCCTCAACTCCCCTGCCCCCCGTACACCCCAAGTCCCATCCAACCGCCCCCACCCTCCCCCGGCTGCCCGTTTCCGCTCTCCACCCCCGCGACCGTGTGCGGCTTCCAACCGCCCAACGGTGGTGCGCACGGGGCGTTTCTTCGCATGGGCAAGCCTCCCCGGGGGCCCCCCACCCCGCTGGGTCGTTGTTTGGGCAAAAAAACGAAAAGAAAAGAATCGGACGCGCTAAAATCGTCCTTTCTTTTTCCCGCTTGCCCCTCCCCCGGCACGTGCCGAGCAAGGGGCATAAATGGGTACAACACGAGGACTTCCCGGGAGGTCACCCAGCCCAGTACTGCTCTCGCCCACCGGCGCTTAGCTTCGGAGTTCTGATGGGATCCGGCTAATAGCTGAGGTATGATCGTACCACGTCAACCTCGTGCCCCGACCGCTACACACCCCTTGCCCGGGTCCCCCCCTTCATAGTCACACCCCCTGCCCCCTCATGCCATCCGCTCCCCCCGCCCCTACCCTCCGCGTGCCCGCTCCCTTGCCGCCTCTTTTGACCCTCCCTGCCCCCCCTCGCCGTTTCCCACCGCCCGCCATTCGCTCCTCCCCGCCCGTGCGCTCCCCTCCTTTACCTTCTCCTCCCCCCTCCCCTCCTCTGCTGCACGCCTCTTCCTTCCCCTCGCCGACCCACTCCACTCCCTGCCCCTCCTCAATCCGCACCCTGCCCCTCGTATCTCGCCCCCCTATGCTTGGTTTCTCCCCTCCCTGCCCCTCGCCGCCTTTCCCCGCTCCCCACCTCCCCCCTCTCCCTGCCCCCCCCACTCTCCCCCCCCCTTGTCCTTGGCTTCCTACCTCCCTGCCTCACCTTTCCCCCCTCCGTGTGCTCAGCTTCTCCCCTCCCTGCCCCTCCCTCCTCCCCGCCCTGCCCCTCATTTTCCGCCCCCCCCCCCCCCACGCCCGGTTTCTCCCCTCCCCGCGCCTCCCTTTCTTTCTCCGTGCCTCTCCTTTGCTCCCTCCCTGCCCCCGCCTGCCCATGCCCCTGTCTTTGGCTTCTCCCCTCCCTGCCCCACGTTTCTTCCCTCCCTGCCCCCCGTCTGCCCCTCCCTTGTTTTCCCCTCACCCATTGCTTCTCTCCTCCCTGCCCTTGATTTCCCACACCCCTGCCCTCGTTTCCTATCATCCATGCCCCTCGTTTCCCCCCTTTGTACGTTCAGCCTCTTCCCTCCCTGCCCCTCCCTTCCTCCCCCCCTGCCCTTTGCTCTCCCCTCGTTACGCTCCCTTCTCCCCATCCCTGCTGCCCTCTTACCACCATCAGCCCATCCCCACGACCAGCCCCCCTCCCACCCTTCAATCCCCCCCTCCCTCTCTCTCTCTCTCTCTCTCTCTCTCTCTCTCTCTTTCTCACACACACACACACACGCACACTCCCCTCCCCCACCCCCCCCCACCTACATCCTCCCATTCTGCCCCTCCCTGCCCCTTTCCCACCCCCTCGCACGCCCCTCACCTCCCACCTCCGTGCAACTGGTTTCCCCCCTATGGTGCCACCCTTGCATCGCTCGCCCCTCTGCTCACCCTCTGCCCGCCCCTTTTCCGTGCCCTCAGTTGGCCCAGCCCCTGCCCGTTGCTGCCCCTCCCCTTGCCCCCTCAACTCCCCTGCCCCCCGTACACCCCAAGTCCCATCCAACCGCCCCCACCCTCCCCCGGCTGCCCGTTTCCGCTCTCCACCCCCGCGACCGTGTGCGGCTTCCAACCGCCCAACGGTGGTGCGCACGGGGCGTTTCTTCGCATGGGCAAGCCTCCCCGGGGGCCCCCCACCCCGCTGGGTCGTTGTTTGGGCAAAAAAAACGAAAAGAAAAGAATCGGACGCGCTAAAATCGTCCTTTCTTTTTCCCGCTTGCCCCTCCCCCGGCACGTGCCGAGCAAGGGGCATAAATGGGTACAACACGAGGACTTCCCGGGAGGTCACCCAGCCCAGTACTGCTCTCGCCCACCGGCGCTTAGCTTCGGAGTTCTGATGGGATCCGGCTAATAGCTGAGGTATGATCGTACCACGTCAACCTCGTGCCCCGACCGCTACACACCCCTTGCCCGGGTCCCCCCCTTCATAGTCACACCCCCTGCCCCCTCATGCCATCCGCTCCCCCCGCCCCTACCCTCCGCGTGCCCGCTCCCTTGCCGCCTCTTTTGACCCTCCCTGCCCCCCCTCGCCGTTTCCCACCGCCCGCCATTCGCTCCTCCCCGCCCGTGCGCTCCCCTCCTTTACCTTCTCCTCCCCCCTCCCCTCCTCTGCTGCACGCCTCTTCCTTCCCCTCGCCGACCCACTCCACTCCCTGCCCCTCCTCAATCCGCACCCTGCCCCTCGTATCTCGCCCCCCTATGCTTGGTTTCTCCCCTCCCTGCCCCTCGCCGCCTTTCCCCGCTCCCCACCTCCCCCCTCTCCCTGCCCCCCCCACTCTCCCCCCCCCTTGTCCTTGGCTTCCTACCTCCCTGCCTCACCTTTCCCCCCTCCGTGTGCTCAGCTTCTCCCCTCCCTGCCCCTCCCTCCTCCCCGCCCTGCCCCTCATTTTCCGCCCCCCCCCCCCCACGCCCGGTTTCTCCCCTCCCCGCGCCTCCCTTTCTTTCTCCGTGCCTCTCCTTTGCTCCCTCCCTGCCCCCGCCTGCCCATGCCCCTGTCTTTGGCTTCTCCCCTCCCTGCCCCACGTTTCTTCCCTCCCTGCCCCCCGTCTGCCCCTCCCTTGTTTTCCCCTCACCCATTGCTTCTCTCCTCCCTGCCCTTGATTTCCCACACCCCTGCCCTCGTTTCCTATCATCCATGCCCCTCGTTTCCCCCCTTTGTACGTTCAGCCTCTTCCCTCCCTGCCCCTCCCTTCCTCCCCCCCTGCCCTTTGCTCTCCCCTCGTTACGCTCCCTTCTCCCCATCCCTGCTGCCCTCTTACCACCATCAGCCCATCCCCACGACCAGCCCCCCTCCCACCCTTCAATCCCCCCCTCCCTCTCTCTCTCTCTCTCTCTCTCTCTCTCTCTCTCTTTCTCACACACACACACACACGCACACTCCCCTCCCCCACCCCCCCCCACCTACATCCTCCCATTCTGCCCCTCCCTGCCCCTTTCCCACCCCCTCGCACGCCCCTCACCTCCCACCTCCGTGCAACTGGTTTCCCCCCTATGGTGCCACCCTTGCATCGCTCGCCCCTCTGCTCACCCTCTGCCCGCCCCTTTTCCGTGCCCTCAGTTGGCCCAGCCCCTGCCCGTTGCTGCCCCTCCCCTTGCCCCCTCAACTCCCCTGCCCCCCGTACACCCCAAGTCCCATCCAACCGCCCCCACCCTCCCCCGGCTGCCCGTTTCCGCTCTCCACCCCCGCGACCGTGTGCGGCTTCCAACCGCCCAACGGTGGTGCGCACGGGGCGTTTCTTCGCATGGGCAAGCCTCCCCGGGGGCCCCCCACCCCGCTGGGTCGTTGTTTGGGCAAAAAAACGAAAAGAAAAGAATCGGACGCGCTAAAATCGTCCTTTCTTTTTCCCGCTTGCCCCTCCCCCGGCACGTGCCGAGCAAGGGGCATAAATGGGTACAACACGAGGACTTCCCGGGAGGTCACCCAGCCCAGTACTGCTCTCGCCCACCGGCGCTTAGCTTCGGAGTTCTGATGGGATCCGGCGTAGTAGCCGAGGTATGATCGTACCACGTCAACCTCGTGCCCCGACCGCTACACACCCCTTGCCCGGGTCCCCCCCTTCATAGTCACACCCCCTGCCCCCTCATGCCATCCGCTCCCCCCGCCCCTACCCTCCGCGTGCCCGCTCCCTTGCCGCCTCTTTTGACCCTCCCTGCCCCCCCTCGCCGTTTCCCACCGCCCGCCATTCGCTCCTCCCCGCCCGTGCGCTCCCCTCCTTTACCTTCTCCTCCCCCCTCCCCTCCTCTGCTGCACGCCTCTTCCTTCCCCTCGCCGACCCACTCCACTCCCTGCCCCTCCTCAATCCGCACCCTGCCCCTCGTATCTCGCCCCCCTATGCTTGGTTTCTCCCCTCCCTGCCCCTCGCCGCCTTTCCCCGCTCCCCACCTCCCCCCTCTCCCTGCCCCCCCCACTCTCCCCCCCCCTTGTCCTTGGCTTCCTACCTCCCTGCCTCACCTTTCCCCCCTCCGTGTGCTCAGCTTCTCCCCTCCCTGCCCCTCCCTCCTCCCCGCCCTGCCCCTCATTTTCCGCCCCCCCCCCCCCACGCCCGGTTTCTCCCCTCCCCGCGCCTCCCTTTCTTTCTCCGTGCCTCTCCTTTGCTCCCTCCCTGCCCCCGCCTGCCCATGCCCCTGTCTTTGGCTTCTCCCCTCCCTGCCCCACGTTTCTTCCCTCCCTGCCCCCCGTCTGCCCCTCCCTTGTTTTCCCCTCACCCATTGCTTCTCTCCTCCCTGCCCTTGATTTCCCACACCCCTGCCCTCGTTTCCTATCATCCATGCCCCTCGTTTCCCCCCTTTGTACGTTCAGCCTCTTCCCTCCCTGCCCCTCCCTTCCTCCCCCCCTGCCCTTTGCTCTCCCCTCGTTACGCTCCCTTCTCCCCATCCCTGCTGCCCTCTTACCACCATCAGCCCATCCCCACGACCAGCCCCCCTCCCACCCTTCAATCCCCCCCTCCCTCTCTCTCTCTCTCTCTCTCTCTCTCTCTCTCTCTTTCTCACACACACACACACACGCACACTCCCCTCCCCCACCCCCCCCCACCTACATCCTCCCATTCTGCCCCTCCCTGCCCCTTTCCCACCCCCTCGCACGCCCCTCACCTCCCACCTCCGTGCAACTGGTTTCCCCCCTATGGTGCCACCCTTGCATCGCTCGCCCCTCTGCTCACCCTCTGCCCGCCCCTTTTCCGTGCCCTCAGTTGGCCCAGCCCCTGCCCGTTGCTGCCCCTCCCCTTGCCCCCTCAACTCCCCTGCCCCCCGTACACCCCAAGTCCCATCCAACCGCCCCCACCCTCCCCCGGCTGCCCGTTTCCGCTCTCCACCCCCGCGACCGTGTGCGGCTTCCAACCGCCCAACGGTGGTGCGCACGGGGCGTTTCTTCGCATGGGCAAGCCTCCCCGGGGGCCCCCCACCCCGCTGGGTCGTTGTTTGGGCAAAAAAAACGAAAAGAAAAGAATCGGACGCGCTAAAATCGTCCTTTCTTTTTCCCGCTTGCCCCTCCCCCGGCACGTGCCGAGCAAGGGGCATAAATGGGTACAACACGAGGACTTCCCGGGAGGTCACCCAGCCCAGTACTGCTCTCGCCCACCGGCGCTTAGCTTCGGAGTTCTGATGGGATCCGGCGTAATAGCTGAGGTATGATCGTACCACGTCAACCTCGTGCCCCGCGACACCCTGCCGGGTCCCCCCCTTCATAGTCACACCCCCTGCCCCCTCATGCCATCCGCTCCCCCCGCCCCTACCCTCCGCGTGCCCGCTCCCTTGCCGCCTCTTTTGACCCTCCCTGCCCCCCCTCGCCGTTTCCCACCGCCCGCCATTCGCTCCTCCCCGCCCGTGCGCTCCCCTCCTTTACCTTCTCCTCCCCCCTCCCCTCCTCTGCTGCACGCCTCTTCCTTCCCCTCGCCGACCCACTCCACTCCCTGCCCCTCCTCAATCCGCACCCTGCCCCTCGTATCTCGCCCCCCTATGCTTGGTTTCTCCCCTCCCTGCCCCTCGCCGCCTTTCCCCGCTCCCCACCTCCCCCCTCTCCCTGCCCCCCCCACTCTCCCCCCCCCTTGTCCTTGGCTTCCTACCTCCCTGCCTCACCTTTCCCCCCTCCGTGTGCTCAGCTTCTCCCCTCCCTGCCCCTCCCTCCTCCCCGCCCTGCCCCTCATTTTCCGCCCCCCCCCCCCCCACGCCCGGTTTCTCCCCTCCCCGCGCCTCCCTTTCTTTCTCCGTGCCTCTCCTTTGCTCCCTCCCTGCCCCCGCCTGCCCATGCCCCTGTCTTTGGCTTCTCCCCTCCCTGCCCCACGTTTCTTCCCTCCCTGCCCCCCGTCTGCCCCTCCCTTGTTTTCCCCTCACCCATTGCTTCTCTCCTCCCTGCCCTTGATTTCCCACACCCCTGCCCTCGTTTCCTATCATCCATGCCCCTCGTTTCCCCCCTTTGTACGTTCAGCCTCTTCCCTCCCTGCCCCTCCCTTCCTCCCCCCCTGCCCTTTGCTCTCCCCTCGTTACGCTCCCTTCTCCCCATCCCTGCTGCCCTCTTACCACCATCAGCCCATCCCCACGACCAGCCCCCCTCCCACCCTTCAATCCCCCCCTCCCTCTCTCTCTCTCTCTCTCTCTCTCTCTCTCTCTCTTTCTCACACACACACACACACGCACACTCCCCTCCCCCACCCCCCCCCACCTACATCCTCCCATTCTGCCCCTCCCTGCCCCTTTCCCACCCCCTCGCACGCCCCTCACCTCCCACCTCCGTGCAACTGGTTTCCCCCCTATGGTGCCACCCTTGCATCGCTCGCCCCTCTGCTCACCCTCTGCCCGCCCCTTTTCCGTGCCCTCAGTTGGCCCAGCCCCTGCCCGTTGCTGCCCCTCCCCTTGCCCCCTCAACTCCCCTGCCCCCCGTACACCCCAAGTCCCATCCAACCGCCCCCACCCTCCCCCGGCTGCCCGTTTCCGCTCTCCACCCCCGCGACCGTGTGCGGCTTCCAACCGCCCAACGGTGGTGCGCACGGGGCGTTTCTTCGCATGGGCAAGCCTCCCCGGGGGCCCCCCACCCCGCTGGGTCGTTGTTTGGGCAAAAAAACGAAAAGAAAAGAATCGGACGCGCTAAAATCGTCCTTTCTTTTTCCCGCTTGCCCCTCCCCCGGCACGTGCCGAGCAAGGGGCATAAATGGGTACAACACGAGGACTTCCCGGGAGGTCACCCAGCCCAGTACTGCTCTCGCCCACCGGCGCTCTTACCTTGACCTAGCTTACCTAGCCATGGCTGCCTACTAAGGAGCCTCCTAAACCTACTATTTCGAGTTGCTTAAGGACAAAGTGATTGTGATAGTTGTTTATGTTATAGTTATAAGCGTTTCCAACGGTTAGTTTTTTAGTTTCGACTGTCGAGTTCGACGGGACGGGGGTCGCGAGTTTCGCGCGCGACCCTCAGGAGTCTCGGAAACGGAACTCGCGGGGTGTTACGGAACCGTTTGTTCGACCCCGCCATCGCGGGATCGCTGCGGACGCGCTGCAGCCGGTGTAACGGGAGGTGGGGCGCTGACGCGAAGTTCGCCCGCGGAGTGTAACAGCGCGCGCGACTCACAACCACAACTCCGCCAGACACGGTGTTCCCGCCCATCCCCTCTCTCGACACTCTCCCTTATCCCCCCGCTCTTTTCTGCTCACGGCTTTTCTATTCGAAGCGATTAGCTGCTACCGAGTTTTTTCCCGCGGTTTCCCTCTCTCGAAGTCACTGAGCTTAGCTTCCGCCCGTAGTTAGCACTCTTCCTTCCCTTTCGGTGCGCCCTTCTTTATCGTAACCCTAATTCGAAGAGCCGCGCGTTTCCAAGCACGCTTTCTCGTCGCCTATCATGTTTAGTCATGCACTCGTTTTCCCCGCCTGTTCAATCTAGCCGCGACGTAGACGGAACCGCGCACGGGGCGCTTACCGCCAGGGAAAGGCAGCGCGGAGGGAGGCGAAATTGCTACGTTCGTAGCGATTAAGCAGCCCTCCCCTTGCGCGCCTCCCGAAGCGCGTTTTCTGCCTAGAGCGTTTTAGCCGCCCACGTTTGGCACACAAGCCGCCCCACTCCCCTTTTGCTCACTCCCACCCTGCCGTGCCTCGTCGCGCACTCGTGCATGCCACCCACACGTCGTAATTTTACCCCGTCGCCACCCACATAGTCACCTCCCTGCTCACACCGCCCCTTTCCCCCTCACACGCGCGCTTTAGCCACCCCGCCACCTAACCTCTTTCCCTAACGGCGCTTAGCTAGCAGAGGCCGCCCTGTTTCTGGAAACCGTAGGAAATAAGAGGAAACAACTTCAAGGAAAAAAGAAAAGAAAAAGAAATTCATATAAATCCGAAAAAACCAGGAAAAATCAGAAAGGCAGCTTACACCTTGTTCTCCCAACCCTCCAGGGCCCCACCCAGTCCGCCACCCCCCCATTCTGTTTCATCATACTACACCACACCCTCCCCTTTTGCCCACCAGCATTACCGCCCCTCTCCCCTTATCCCCCACCACGCCCCCAAGCAGGCCTTTCTCCCCCCAGCCTCCCGTCTCCCTGCCCTTAGTACCGCCGCGCTCTGCCCGTGCGTCACCCTTGCCCACTTCATACCACCTCCCCCTTCTCCCCCCCCCCCGGCTTCTCCCTATCATCACCCGCATGTTCCCCCACTCCCCTGTCCACAACGTCCCTCCACCCCCCTTCCTGCTTTCCCCACTCCCCTACTCTGCCCCCCACACCTCTACGAGCCGTACTTCCCCCTCCAGCCTCCCTTTCCCCCCCAGCTACTTCCGCATCCAGCGTGGGCTGCACCTCTGCATCCCGCCCTGCCAGGCCCTTCGGTGACCCAACTGCCGCCACCTGGCACCACGCCGCCTTTCCCACCCCCATCCAATCTCTACACCCCCTGCCCCTGCTCCCTGCGCAATCCAGCCACCTACCCCAGCCTCCCTCTACCTCTCCCTAACTCCACACCGCCGTTCCTACCCCCAGCCAAGGTCTACACCCCTTGCTTTTGCTCCCTGGGCTGTGCCGTCCCCAACCTCCCTCCGCCTTTCCGCGGCACCAGACCGCCTCTCCCTCCCCCAGCCAACTTTTGCACCCCCTGTTCCTGCCCCTTGTGCCCTCCAACACCCTACCTCAACCCCCCCCAGTCTCCCCCTTCTCCAACACCCTCCATATTTCCTCCCCCCTGGGGCTCGCCCATCCGCAGCTATCACCCTTCATCGATTCCCCAATTCCCTCTGTCCCCTGTTTCCCGGCCCCGCATCCTATCCTGCATTTACCACAGCACCTCCTTTCGGTGCCCTCTCTGCCCTCCCACGTTCTCACCCCCCGCCTCCCAACCTTCTCATTACCCGCTACCAGGCTCACGCCAACTCGACTACCCACTACCCTTTGCCCCTTCCTCTCTGTTCCCCACCCTTCCTTTCCCACCTGGCTCCACCTGCCCACCCCCACCTCCCGTGGAATTCTGCCCTGCCCTCCCCACCTCTGGCCCACCACCTGTCCCCACACCCTGCTCACCCACCGCTACACCACCCCCGCCCCCCCACCTCCACTACAGCCCGCCAACACTTCCCCTCTCAATCGGCCCCCAGCCCGCCCCCCCCTTGGGCCCCAATCCCCTCCAACTGTCAGGCCCCCTCTACCCTCTCTTCCACCCACTGCGCACCGCTTTCCCCACCCTTTTCCCCTTTCCCCAAGCTAACCCCCCGCACCCCGGCCTCTGCCAGGGAGTTCCTTCCCCCTTTGACGCCCTCTTGAGCCAACCCCAGCAACTCACACCGCCACCGCCAGGCATGCTGCCTCTGTAACAATGCCCCAGCACCCCGCGAGTGGGGGAAAGGCAGGCCCGGGAGCCCCTCGGCGATCTGGGAGGTCCCGCAGCCGAGCCACCCCCTACTCTCCCACTCCCCCCACTTCAACAGTCAGGAAGAAACAACACACACCTGACCAAGCGAAAACACTCACACAATCTGACCCTAGGGGCCAGAAGCGTACCTTTGAAGAGGATGGAACAGAGGAACGCCAAGCCCCACTGGAGGAAATACACGAGGAGGAGCCAGCACGCTCAAAACCGCGCCCTACCCCCGCTGCCCCATCCCAGTCTACCCCCCCTTCAGGTGACAGCGGGGGCGGCACCCATGCATGCTCAGTAGAGAGATCCTCCAACTCACTCGCTACCTCCCATTCGCAAACCAGATTACTTGTGAAAACACTTAATCCTACCCGCACCCCCAAGCACATAGAAGCGGGAGAGGGCAGAGCCAGGGGGGAACTTGCAGCTGACACTGCACGGGAAGGGGTAAGTGAGTTTGTGTGTGAAGGAGCAGCAGAGGCTACAGAGGATGGGGCAGCAAAGGCTGCACGGGAAGGGGCAATGGGGGTTGTGGGGGAAGGGGCAGCAGAGGCTGCAGAGGAAAGGGCAGCAGAGGCTGCAAGGGAAGGGGCAGCAGCGGCTGCACGGGAAAGGGCGGCAGGGGCTGCACGGGAAGGGGCGGCAGGGACCGTGACTCTGGCCAGGCAAAGGGCAGAGGCCATGGAGACAGGTTTTGCAGGAGTAGGGGCCACGGAACCTGCTGCTGCTGTCGGCTGGGGGAACCGCAGCAGAGGAGGCTATAGGGACCGCACCAGGTGAGGCCGCACAGACCACAGCAGGTGTGGCTGCAGGGATCACAACGGGTGAGGCTGCAGGAGGGACCATGGCAGGTGAGGCCGCAGGGAGCGCAGTAGGTGAGGCTGCGGGGAGCGCAGCAGGTGAGGCTGTAGGGGGCGCAGCAGGTGAGGCTGCAGAGAGCGCAGCAGGTGAGGCCGCAGGGAGCGCAGCAAGCGAGGCTGCAGGGAGCGCAGCAGGCGAGGCTGCAGGGAGCGCAGCAGGCGGGACTGCAGGGGCCACAGCAGGTGAGGCTGCGGCGGACGCAGCAGGTGAGGCTGCGAGGGCTGCATCATGTAAGGTTGGGCAGACTCTAGCAGGTGAGGCTGCACAGTCTACAGCTGGTGAGGTCGCATGGACTGCAACAGGTGAGGCCGCAGGGACTGCAGCAGGTGAGGCGGCAGGGACCACAGCGGATGAGGCTGCAGGCGGGACCATGGCAGGTGAGGCCGCAGGGAGCGCAGCAGGTGAGGCTGAAATAGCCGCAGCAGGTGAGGCTGCAGAGGCCGCAGCATGTGAGGTTGAGCAGATTCTAGCAGGTGAGGCTGCACAGACTGCAGCAGGTGAGGCCGCAGGGACTGCAGCGGGTGAGGCTGCAGGGACTGCAGCACGTGAGGCTGCAGGGACTGCAGCACGTGAGGCTACAGGGATCGCGGCTGGTGAGGCTGAGCAGATTACGGTAGGCGAGGTTTTACAGACTGCAGCAGTCGAGGCTGCAAGGACTGCAGCAGGAGCGACAGAGGCCACAGCGGGGGCTGGTATAGGGGGAGGTGCTACGGGTGCAGCGGGGAAGGGGGTAACGGGGACTGGTGCGAGGGAGAGTGCCGCCCCGGCTGTAGCAAGAGAGGGTACGGCAGGGGCCTCAAAGGCAGAAGGTGAGGCTGCAGCTGAAGCAGCAGGGAGGGCCATAGCACGGCCAGTAGGGGCGGCAGGGGCCGCAGCAAACTCGGGGAAACACACAGCAGGGCCGGCAGGGCCGGCAGAGACTGCAAAAGGGGCTAGCAGTAAAGCGGCAGCAGGCGGGGTGGGCTTGGGGGACATAGGGGCAACAGGGGAAGGAGAGGGGAGGGTGGTCCCGACCGGGGTGGGCACTGAAGAGGGGGATGTGATAGCGATAGAGGAGGATGAGGGAGAGGATGTGATGCACATTGACGGGCCACTGGCCCAATACCTCACGCTTGACGGTGAGGCCGACCCGGCCCCCCTGCAGCCTCACGTCGAGGTTCCCCCTCTACCCCCCATGCCCGTCCCCATGCTAGCAGAAGGACCGATGGAGGGGCTGGGGGAGACCTTGAGGACAGAGCCGCGCGAGGGAGCCCCCATCCTCACCTCCCGTCCTCCAGCCCACCAGCCCCCAGGAGCACCACTTCCCCACCCCCACCCTCAGGTCCCGGTAGTGTCCAGGGGGGCAGCCAAGGCCCTGGCCTTCTTGGCGGAGCCGTGCTCCCCGACCCCCACGCTGCTCCATGGCCAGCCCCCCTCTCCGTCCCCAACGCCTGACCCCACGGTTGCAGGCGGTCCACCGGGAGAGCACGCGGGTGCGACAAGAGCAGAGTCACCCGAGGGCACCCCTTCTCTCACCTCTCACCCCTCCCCGCCCCTTCCCTCACTCCTTCCTTCACCCCCAAGGGCAGCACACCTCTGCCCCCACCCTCAGGGGCTCCTTAGAGCACCACGTGGAGCAGCCAGGGCTCTGGTCTTCCTAGAGGAGCCATGCTCCCCGACTCCTACCAACACCCAGCCACCCCTTACCGGCCCACTACCCCCTCCTCCACCAGGCCCCCCCCCACCCGGTAGTACACACATCTCGGAGGTTGAAGCATCTCTGCGGCCAAATCCCTCTCCCACACGCTACAGGCACCCAAACCACCCGAGTCGCCGCACAGCCCCAACACGCCCACCCAACAGGCTGCCCTCCCCACACCACCCCCCCCAGGCAGCCGAGACCCACCCGCAAGGGCTTGCGCCCCAGGCTCATGGGAGCGGCGGCACCCGGGTAGAGGGGCCCACAGGAGAGGCCACCACAGAGCCCACACAAATCTCTCTCCCCCCACCGTTTGTACCTCGCTCTAACCTCCACACTGGCCCAGCCCCTCGACCCCCACCTCCAACCCCCTCTCCCGGCCGGGTTCCCCACGAGTGGCCCCGTTGGGCAGCCATCACCCCCCACACACAGCTTGCCCGATCTGTTCCCACGGAGGGGGATGTTTCGAGGAGAGTGGGGATGCACACAGAGCACCCCCTGCCTGGCGAACCACCCATCCTCCCTCCACCCACCCCTTTGGCCCCACAGCCCCCCCTTCCTTCACAAACAGGCGCGGACAACCAGGTTGGCCGCCGGCGGAAGAACAGGGGCAGAGGAGGCAGAGGGTCAGCCCACGTACTCCCCCCTCCCTCCCTCCCCCACCAAGAGCCCCTCCCCACCTCACATCCCGTTGAACAATTACCAGGCCCTACCTCTACAGCCCGTACCACCAAACCTACACTCCCGCCCCGCTCCTGCACCTCCACAGGGCCATGGGAGCGGACCAGCCCACTCACCCCCATTCTGCCCCTCCCGTGCTGTGTCCCCCTCCCAGGTGGCGGCGGCCGCGATCGCTACTGGGAGGGGGGCCGTCGGGTTGAGGGATGCGCCCATGGCAGACGCCACCGACTCCCCCTCCCATCCCTCCCACCCCTTCCATGTCGACGACCCCCTACCGCAACCCATGGTGATTGGGGAGGGCCAAGGGGGCCTTCTAGGGCAGGGTCCACACCCGAGCTCCGCTCAGCCAGCACGCCCCACTCCACCCTCTACCCTGCCAGCCCTCCTACTCTCACCTACAGGCAGGCAGGTCTTCGAGACCCCAGAGGAGGTGAGGGCTGGCATTTCAGATTTGCTGGCGATACACCGCCTGAGCAGCTCTCCGGCTGCCCCCACCCTTCCAGTCCCACAGGACCGGACCCGGACGTATGCGGAGGTCACCCGGTCTGTCCCTTCTTTTATCCCCCCCGCCACTCAGCCAGGCGCGTCACTCCCGACCCCAATGGAGACGGACCGGGGTCTGAGGCCGTGTCACTCGCACCTAGACGGGGTGGCGCCTCCCCCCGTTCAGCCCGTGGCGCAGGAGGTCACCAGCAGTAGGGATGAGGCATCCGCCCCTACCGAGACCCCTCCGCCTGGGGTAGCAGAGCCGTCACTTGAACCGCACCCCGCCGAGGGGCAGGAGCACACCACGGCACACACTTCAGGCTCACCTCCACGTCCCCCCTCCCCAGCTTCAACACCGGTGCCGGCACGAGGCCCGGCCCTATCCTGTGCGACACCACCTCTATCTTCGCTGACACCCCCCCCGCGCGGGGCTGGTGAGTCGTCTCCTCCCCTCATCCCAGGCGATCCTGTCGGAGCTCAGGCCGCCCACGGGGTCCCCTCTACAGCCAGTTCCGACGCCACGGCCCCGATTGACCCCGCCGACACGGCGACATCACCCGACCAGGTCGTGAGTTGCCCCACCTGCAGGAGCTCTCTCGCGAACCGACGCGCGCTCCAGCACCACATTCCCTTCTGCCATCCTGCGGACGCGGCTCGCAGGGCGCAGGCTGCCCATGATACCGCCTCGATCATCCCTTCCCTCTCACAGCCCCGTGCGACCGGGATGCAGTTCACCGACGCACAGTGGCAGACGCTCGACTCGGTGGACTGGACAGAGTACTTCTCGCCCGAGCGTATCCATACACGCCCTCTCCGACGTGTCCCGGAGAGGGTCCGCGGAGGATATCTTGACGTCCTCAGTGCGATCCTAGTCCGCATTGCCCAGGACCCGGAGGCTGCTGGCCCTACCTTCCTCCTCGCTGCAGCGCCGACTCTTTTCCTTGTTCCAGCGACGCCACCCGACCGCTCGCACACGGCTGCCATTGCAACGCGCATCTCTCGCTTTGGTCGAGGTGAGTGGGCTGAGCTAGTCTCAGATGCACTAGGCCGTCGCACACCCCTTCCTCGCCGCACAGGTCACCGGTCACGCACCGCCACCGATCCCTCTGCAGCAGATGAGCGCCGCATTGCACGTTGCCTTCGTCTGGCAGCGTGCAATGAGACCTCACGGGCGTGCGCGGCTCTCGAGTCCGCGGAGGCAGCCCCAGATACACAGGGGACGATACAGCGCCTGCAGTCGAAGCACCCCAACGCGGAGAGGCCGACCCCAGCTTGGCTGTCTGGCTTCCAGGGGTCCCCTCTCGTGCTCTCGGTGGATCACTTACGCCGCGCGATTTTCACAGCTCCGCGGGGCTCTTCGGGAGGACCGTCCGGTTGGGTCGCTGAGCACCTGCGAGACACTTTCCTAGCTTTCCCTCAGAGTCTCCATTTCCTCCTGGCCGTGTACCAGCAGTGGCTCCGAGGCCGTTGCGCTCCAGCTGCGCGCTCCTTGCTAGCGTCCTCCACCCTCGTGGCTCTGGCGAAGTCGAACATGGATGTTCGGCCGATTGCCATCGGCGAGGTTTTGGTCCGCATTCTTTCTCGGGCAGTTTGTCTCCAGCTACGTGACCAGATGGCGAGGGTCTTCTTGGCATCACAGCAGTTTGGGGTGGGGGTTACGTGCGGGACAGAGGTCGTAGTTAGAGGCGTCCGCCGCGCTCTGGCTGACCACCCAGACTGGGTGGTCCTGCAGCTAGACGTGGCGAATGCCTTTAACTCTTTCCACCGAGACAGGATGTTTCAGGCGCTGCAGGCCAGTCCGGAGTTTCAGTGTCTGATCCCCTTCATCGGCCTCTTCTACGGGACGCCCTCGGATCTCCACTACAGGTCAGGCACGGGAGTGGTCACGATGCACTCGGAGCGGGGCACTCGCCAGGGAGACCCTCTCAGCCCCTTCTTGTACGCTCTGACACAGCGTCTTGCTTTGGAGCCGGTTCTGGCGGAGGGGGATGTCCAGCTCTGGTCGTACGCCGATGACACGTACGTGCTAGGTCCCCCAGACAGGGTGCTGCACCATTTTGCCGAGATCGTGAGGCGCTTGGGCGAGATGGGCCTTGCAGCCCAGCCGCACAAGTGCCTCGTCTACCAGACAGAGTCCTTTCTGTCCAGGGATCTGGAGGCTTTCACGGGCCTAGGGATCGAGGTCGCACGCCGAGGGCTCACCGTGACAGGCGTACCGGTAGGCACCGTTTCGTTCGTGGAGCAGAGTCTCCCGGATCGTCTCGAGAGGATGGGGCGGGTGCTACCTTGGCTTCCGAGGTTGCGCCAGCCCCAGACAGCTGCCCGCCTTCTTTCGGCGTGTGTCAGCACTCGTCCGCAGTACCTGTCGAGGACCGTCCCTCCTTCGCCCGCAGTGATCTCCAGTTTTACACGGTGGGACGCACGCCTGGGAGAGACTTTTCAGCAGCTTTTAGCTTCAGGGACCTGGGCTTGTCGCGAGGACGTCCGAGAGGCCGCCCTAGACCAGATCTTCCTCCCCATCCGTCTCGGGGGTTTCGGCATTCGTCGCATGGCGCGCATGGCCCCGGTGAGTTTCGTGTGCTCCTGGGTGCAGTGTGCACCCATTCTCTGTTCTCTCCCTGCGTGTGGCGAGGTGTTTCGGCAGAGCTTCGCTTCAGGTGAGCCAGAGCAGATCGACCGGGCTCTGCAGACGGCGCTAGAGGGTCTCCCTCCTGACGTTCTCTCTCTCCTTCCCCCCTGGCCCTCTTGCGCTTCTGCCTCCCCCGATTCCCTTTTTGCAGGAGCGAGCCGTCTTCTGGAGGCGCATGCCTTGGAGGCCGTGCGTGCCCGTCACACCTCTCCCTTGCACCTTGCCCGTTTGACTTCCCTTCAGGGCGGAGGTGCAGGAGCGTGGTTGACGTCGGTGCCGTACGCCGACCCACTGCGCATCCCGGAGGCGCTGTGGCAGGCGGCTTCATCTTCTCGTCTTGGTCTCCCTATCCCCCAGTTAGCCCTTGCAGGTCAGTGCTCCTGCGGACAGGCGATTGACGACATGACGGTGCCTCATCACGCGGTTCGGTGCCCGCGTTACGGGGTCGCCACTACCATCCACGACACGGTGAAGTACATGCTTCGAGACTTTGCGGTCGAGGCGGGCTTCGCGGTAAAGGTGGAGGACTCTACGCTGTTCACACAGTTGGAGGCGGCTCGAGCGAGACTACTGGGACAGCCAGTGGTGGGAGAGGGGACACGGGCTGAGGGACCGGGGGAGCGGAGAGGCGAGGCGGGACAGCCGGGTGGCGGGGGACAGTGGGGACGGCACCAGCTGCGGGGTCAGGTGGAGCGAGGGACAGGTGGGCAGAGGGGACGGCAGGGGGAGCAGACGGGCCAGGACGGGGAGGGGGGACGGCACAGGCAGCAGCAGGAGAGCCAGTGGAGGCCGCGGGCCCAGGGCGCCGCGCCTCCAGGTTCGGCCTCGGGGGCGGGGCAGGGGCGGGAGCAGCAGAGAGCGGACGGAGGTACAGGAGGGGCAGCGGGATTGGGAGGGGAGGGCCAGGGAGTGAGAGAGGCAGCAGGGGATGGAGCAGGGGGGTCGGGAGGTTTGGGGGAGGGTAGGGAGGGGGAGGGGAGAGGACAGGTGGATGGAGGAGAGGAGAGGGGGAGAGAGACGATCGGAGAGGGGGCACCAAGGGACCAGACAGGGCAGCAGCCAGCGCAACAGCAGGGACCAGTCGGACGCACAGGCCGTGTAGGCACCGCCTCCCGCATTCCAGACCTCACCTGCCGCGACGTTGGCCAGGGTCTGATGGTTCTTGTGGATGTCTCCATAGCGGATCCACAGCGGGAGGGGAACGTGCAGCTGAGACGGGCGACCCCCACACAGATTGGAGTGGCAGCAGCTAGGCGGGTGCAGGAGAAGCTGCGTCACTGGGGGCCGCACTTAGAGGGGCTGCAGCCGGCACCACACTTTTACGCGTGCGTGGCGGAGACCTTTGGCCTTCTGAGTGAGCCGCTGCGTCAGTTTCTGGGGCTCTGCGCAAAGAGGATAGCACAGCGGAGGAGGGATAGAGGTGGGGGGGATGACGGATCGGCACGGATATTTGAGGCAGGACTCACTACACGCCTCTCCGTTGCACTGCAGCGCGCGCAGGCTCAATGCATGATCCAGCATGCGGTGCGGCAGTTAGGGAGGTCCGACGACGGGTGGATGCCCGCACCAGTCCCACTGGGTGCGGGGCAGGGAACTTGGCACCACGTCACAGGGTGCTTCGAGAGTGTGGCTGATATGCAGTATATATATGATGCATATGTGTAAAAAACAATAGTGGCTGTGCTTGAAACGCTGTGCCCGTGCGGTCGTGCGGGTTGCTGCCGTGTTTGGTCCTTTGGTGCTTCCTTCTCCTTAGTCTCTCTCTCTCTCTCCTCTTCTCTTCCCACCTCCCTCTTTCTGTTCCCTTCTTCTATCCTTCCCTTCTCTTCCTACCACCCTCTTCCTTTCCCTACCACTTCTTCTTACTCCTTCATCTTTCCTTCCTTTCCTTTCTTTCCCCCTTTTCCTACAAAATATATAAATCGTCCTCATAGCGCTTAGGCTATGTCGAAATTTCCTAGTCTTGGAAAAACCATTATATTCGGCTTGTATTTGCTCTTCCCTTATTAATGAATAACTGCTCTCGCCCACCGGCGCTTAGCTTCGGAGTTCTGATGGGATCCGGCGTAGTAGCCGAGGTATGATCGTACCACGTCAACCTCGTGCCCCGACCGCTACACACCCCTTGCCCGGGTCCCCCCCTTCATAGTCACACCCCCTGCCCCCTCATGCCATCCGCTCCCCCCGCCCCTACCCTCCGCGTGCCCGCTCCCTTGCCGCCTCTTTTGACCCTCCCTGCCCCCCCTCGCCGTTTCCCACCGCCCGCCATTCGCTCCTCCCCGCCCGTGCGCTCCCCTCCTTTACCTTCTCCTCCCCCCTCCCCTCCTCTGCTGCACGCCTCTTCCTTCCCCTCGCCGACCCACTCCACTCCCTGCCCCTCCTCAATCCGCACCCTGCCCCTCGTATCTCGCCCCCCTATGCTTGGTTTCTCCCCTCCCTGCCCCTCGCCGCCTTTCCCCGCTCCCCACCTCCCCCCTCTCCCTGCCCCCCCCACTCTCCCCCCCCCCTTGTCCTTGGCTTCCTACCTCCCTGCCTCACCTTTCCCCCCTCCGTGTGCTCAGCTTCTCCCCTCCCTGCCCCTCCCTCCTCCCCGCCCTGCCCCTCATTTTCCGCCCCCCCCCCCCCCACGCCCGGTTTCTCCCCTCCCCGCGCCTCCCTTTCTTTCTCCGTGCCTCTCCTTTGCTCCCTCCCTGCCCCCGCCTGCCCATGCCCCTGTCTTTGGCTTCTCCCCTCCCTGCCCCACGTTTCTTCCCTCCCTGCCCCCCGTCTGCCCCTCCCTTGTTTTCCCCTCACCCATTGCTTCTCTCCTCCCTGCCCTTGATTTCCCACACCCCTGCCCTCGTTTCCTATCATCCATGCCCCTCGTTTCCCCCCTTTGTACGTTCAGCCTCTTCCCTCCCTGCCCCTCCCTTCCTCCCCCCCTGCCCTTTGCTCTCCCCTCGTTACGCTCCCTTCTCCCCATCCCTGCTGCCCTCTTACCACCATCAGCCCATCCCCACGACCAGCCCCCCTCCCACCCTTCAATCCCCCCCTCCCTCTCTCTCTCTCTCTCTCTCTCTCTCTCTCTCTCTCTCTTTCTCACACACACACACACACGCACACTCCCCTCCCCCACCCCCCCCCACCTACATCCTCCCATTCTGCCCCTCCCTGCCCCTTTCCCACCCCCTCGCACGCCCCTCACCTCCCACCTCCGTGCAACTGGTTTCCCCCCTATGGTGCCACCCTTGCATCGCTCGCCCCTCTGCTCACCCTCTGCCCGCCCCTTTTCCGTGCCCTCAGTTGGCCCAGCCCCTGCCCGTTGCTGCCCCTCCCCTTGCCCCCTCAACTCCCCTGCCCCCCGTACACCCCAAGTCCCATCCAACCGCCCCCACCCTCCCCCGGCTGCCCGTTTCCGCTCTCCACCCCCGCGACCGTGTGCGGCTTCCAACCGCCCAACGGTGGTGCGCACGGGGCGTTTCTTCGCATGGGCAAGCCTCCCCGGGGGCCCCCCACCCCGCTGGGTCGTTGTTTGGGCAAAAAAAACGAAAAGAAAAGAATCGGACGCGCTAAAATCGTCCTTTCTTTTTCCCGCTTGCCCCTCCCCCGGCACGTGCCGAGCAAGGGGCATAAATGGGTACAACACGAGGACTTCCCGGGAGGTCACCCAGCCCAGTACTGCTCTCGCCCACCGATAGTGGCTGTGCTTGAAACGCTGTGCCCGTGCGGTCGTGCGGGTTGCTGCCGTGTTTTGGTCCTTTGGTGCTTCCTCCTCCTTAGTCTCTCTCCCTCTCTCCTCTTTTCTTCCCACCTCCCTCTTTCTGTTCCCTTCTTCTATCCTTCCCTTCTCTTCCTACCGCCCTCTTCTTTTCCCTACCACTTCTTCTTACTCCTTCATCCTTCCTTCCTTTCCTTTCTTTCCCCCTTTTCCTACAAAATATATATACCGTCCTCATAGCGATTAGGCTATGTCGAAATTTCCTAGTCTTGGAAAAACCATTATATTCGGCTTGTATTTGCTCTTCCCCTATTAATGAATAACTGCTCTCGCCCACCGGCGCTTAGCTTCGGAGTTCTGATGGGATCCGGCGTAGTAGCCGAGGTATGATCGTACCACGTCAACCTCGTGCCCCGACCGCTACACACCCCTTGCCCGGGTCCCCCCCTTCATAGTCACACCCCCTGCCCCCTCATGCCATCCGCTCCCCCCGCCCCTACCCTCCGCGTGCCCGCTCCCTTGCCGCCTCTTTTGACCCTCCCTGCCCCCCCTCGCCGTTTCCCACCGCCCGCCATTCGCTCCTCCCCGCCCGTGCGCTCCCCTCCTTTACCTTCTCCTCCCCCCTCCCCTCCTCTGCTGCACGCCTCTTCCTTCCCCTCGCCGACCCACTCCACTCCCTGCCCCTCCTCAATCCGCACCCTGCCCCTCGTATCTCGCCCCCCTATGCTTGGTTTCTCCCCTCCCTGCCCCTCGCCGCCTTTCCCCGCTCCCCACCTCCCCCCTCTCCCTGCCCCCCCCACTCTCCCCCCCCCCCTTGTCCTTGGCTTCCTACCTCCCTGCCTCACCTTTCCCCCCTCCGTGTGCTCAGCTTCTCCCCTCCCTGCCCCTCCCTCCTCCCCGCCCTGCCCCTCATTTTCCGCCCCCCCCCCCCCCACGCCCGGTTTCTCCCCTCCCCGCGCCTCCCTTTCTTTCTCCGTGCCTCTCCTTTGCTCCCTCCCTGCCCCCGCCTGCCCATGCCCCTGTCTTTGGCTTCTCCCCTCCCTGCCCCACGTTTCTTCCCTCCCTGCCCCCCGTCTGCCCCTCCCTTGTTTTCCCCTCACCCATTGCTTCTCTCCTCCCTGCCCTTGATTTCCCACACCCCTGCCCTCGTTTCCTATCATCCATGCCCCTCGTTTCCCCCCTTTGTACGTTCAGCCTCTTCCCTCCCTGCCCCTCCCTTCCTCCCCCCCTGCCCTTTGCTCTCCCCTCGTTACGCTCCCTTCTCCCCATCCCTGCTGCCCTCTTACCACCATCAGCCCATCCCCACGACCAGCCCCCCTCCCACCCTTCAATCCCCCCCTCCCTCTCTCTCTCTCTCTCTCTCTCTCTCTCTCTCTCTCTCTCTTTCTCACACACACACACACACGCACACTCCCCTCCCCCACCCCCCCCCACCTACATCCTCCCATTCTGCCCCTCCCTGCCCCTTTCCCACCCCCTCGCACGCCCCTCACCTCCCACCTCCGTGCAACTGGTTTCCCCCCTATGGTGCCACCCTTGCATCGCTCGCCCCTCTGCTCACCCTCTGCCCGCCCCTTTTCCGTGCCCTCAGTTGGCCCAGCCCCTGCCCGTTGCTGCCCCTCCCCTTGCCCCCTCAACTCCCCTGCCCCCCGTACACCCCAAGTCCCATCCAACCGCCCCCACCCTCCCCCGGCTGCCCGTTTCCGCTCTCCACCCCCGCGACCGTGTGCGGCTTCCAACCGCCCAACGGTGGTGCGCACGGGGCGTTTCTTCGCATGGGCAAGCCTCCCCGGGGGCCCCCCACCCCGCTGGGTCGTTGTTTGGGCAAAAAAAACGAAAAGAAAAGAATCGGACGCGCTAAAATCGTCCTTTCTTTTTCCCGCTTGCCCCTCCCCCGGCACGTGCCGAGCAAGGGGCATAAATGGGTACAACACGAGGACTTCCCGGGAGGTCACCCAGCCCAGTACTGCTCTCGCCCACCGATAGTGGCTGTGCTTGAAACGCTGTGCCCGTGCGGTCGTGCGGGTTGCTGCCGTGTTTTGGTCCTTTGGTGCTTCCTCCTCCTTAGTCTCTCTCCCTCTCTCCTCTTTTCTTCCCACCTCCCTCTTTCTGTTCCCTTCTTCTATCCTTCCCTTCTCTTCCTACCGCCCTCTTCTTTTCCCTACCACTTCTTCTTACTCCTTCATCCTTCCTTCCTTTCCTTTCTTTCCCCCTTTTCCTACAAAATATATATACCGTCCTCATAGCGATTAGGCTATGTCGAAATTTCCTAGTCTTGGAAAAACCATTATATTCGGCTTGTATTTGCTCTTCCCCTATTAATGAATAACTGCTCTCGCCCACCGGCGCTTAGCTTCGGAGTTCTGATGGGATCCGGCGTAGTAGCCGAGGTATGATCGTACCACGTCAACCTCGTGCCCCGACCGCTACACACCCCTTGCCCGGGTCCCCCCCTTCATAGTCACACCCCCTGCCCCCTCATGCCATCCGCTCCCCCCGCCCCTACCCTCCGCGTGCCCGCTCCCTTGCCGCCTCTTTTGACCCTCCCTGCCCCCCCTCGCCGTTTCCCACCGCCCGCCATTCGCTCCTCCCCGCCCGTGCGCTCCCCTCCTTTACCTTCTCCTCCCCCCTCCCCTCCTCTGCTGCACGCCTCTTCCTTCCCCTCGCCGACCCACTCCACTCCCTGCCCCTCCTCAATCCGCACCCTGCCCCTCGTATCTCGCCCCCCTATGCTTGGTTTCTCCCCTCCCTGCCCCTCGCCGCCTTTCCCCGCTCCCCACCTCCCCCCTCTCCCTGCCCCCCCCACTCTCCCCCCCCCCTTGTCCTTGGCTTCCTACCTCCCTGCCTCACCTTTCCCCCCTCCGTGTGCTCAGCTTCTCCCCTCCCTGCCCCTCCCTCCTCCCCGCCCTGCCCCTCATTTTCCGCCCCCCCCCCCCCCACGCCCGGTTTCTCCCCTCCCCGCGCCTCCCTTTCTTTCTCCGTGCCTCTCCTTTGCTCCCTCCCTGCCCCCGCCTGCCCATGCCCCTGTCTTTGGCTTCTCCCCTCCCTGCCCCACGTTTCTTCCCTCCCTGCCCCCCGTCTGCCCCTCCCTTGTTTTCCCCTCACCCATTGCTTCTCTCCTCCCTGCCCTTGATTTCCCACACCCCTGCCCTCGTTTCCTATCATCCATGCCCCTCGTTTCCCCCCTTTGTACGTTCAGCCTCTTCCCTCCCTGCCCCTCCCTTCCTCCCCCCCTGCCCTTTGCTCTCCCCTCGTTACGCTCCCTTCTCCCCATCCCTGCTGCCCTCTTACCACCATCAGCCCATCCCCACGACCAGCCCCCCTCCCACCCTTCAATCCCCCCCTCCCTCTCTCTCTCTCTCTCTCTCTCTCTCTCTCTCTTTCTCACACACACACACACACGCACACTCCCCTCCCCCACCCCCCCCCACCTACATCCTCCCATTCTGCCCCTCCCTGCCCCTTTCCCACCCCCTCGCACGCCCCTCACCTCCCACCTCCGTGCAACTGGTTTCCCCCCTATGGTGCCACCCTTGCATCGCTCGCCCCTCTGCTCACCCTCTGCCCGCCCCTTTTCCGTGCCCTCAGTTGGCCCAGCCCCTGCCCGTTGCTGCCCCTCCCCTTGCCCCCTCAACTCCCCTGCCCCCCGTACACCCCAAGTCCCATCCAACCGCCCCCACCCTCCCCCGGCTGCCCGTTTCCGCTCTCCACCCCCGCGACCGTGTGCGGCTTCCAACCGCCCAACGGTGGTGCGCACGGGGCGTTTCTTCGCATGGGCAAGCCTCCCCGGGGGCCCCCCACCCCGCTGGGTCGTTGTTTGGGCAAAAAAACGAAAAGAAAAGAATCGGACGCGCTAAAATCGTCCTTTCTTTTTCCCGCTTGCCCCTCCCCCGGCACGTGCCGAGCAAGGGGCATAAATGGGTACAACACGAGGACTTCCCGGGAGGTCACCCAGCCCAGTACTGCTCTCGCCCACCGATAGTGGCTGTGCTTGAAACGCTGTGCCCGTGCGGTCGTGCGGGTTGCTGCCGTGTTTTGGTCCTTTGGTGCTTCCTCCTCCTTAGTCTCTCTCCCTCTCTCCTCTTTTCTTCCCACCTCCCTCTTTCTGTTCCCTTCTTCTATCCTTCCCTTCTCTTCCTACCGCCCTCTTCTTTTCCCTACCACTTCTTCTTACTCCTTCATCCTTCCTTCCTTTCCTTTCTTTCCCCCTTTTCCTACAAAATATATATACCGTCCTCATAGCGATTAGGCTATGTCGAAATTTCCTAGTCTTGGAAAAACCATTATATTCGGCTTGTATTTGCTCTTCCCCTATTAATGAATAACTGCTCTCGCCCACCGGCGCTTAGCTTCGGAGTTCTGATGGGATCCGGCGTAGTAGCCGAGGTATGATCGTACCACGTCAACCTCGTGCCCCGACCGCTACACACCCCTTGCCCGGGTCCCCCCCTTCATAGTCACACCCCCTGCCCCCTCATGCCATCCGCTCCCCCCGCCCCTACCCTCCGCGTGCCCGCTCCCTTGCCGCCTCTTTTGACCCTCCCTGCCCCCCCTCGCCGTTTCCCACCGCCCGCCATTCGCTCCTCCCCGCCCGTGCGCTCCCCTCCTTTACCTTCTCCTCCCCCCCTCCCCTCCTCTGCTGCACGCCTCTTCCTTCCCCTCGCCGACCCACTCCACTCCCTGCCCCTCCTCAATCCGCACCCTGCCCCTCGTATCTCGCCCCCCTATGCTTGGTTTCTCCCCTCCCTGCCCCTCGCCGCCTTTCCCCGCTCCCCACCTCCCCCCTCTCCCTGCCCCCCCCACTCTCCCCCCCCCCTTGTCCTTGGCTTCCTACCTCCCTGCCTCACCTTTCCCCCCTCCGTGTGCTCAGCTTCTCCCCTCCCTGCCCCTCCCTCCTCCCCGCCCTGCCCCTCATTTTCCGCCCCCCCCCCCCCCACGCCCGGTTTCTCCCCTCCCCGCGCCTCCCTTTCTTTCTCCGTGCCTCTCCTTTGCTCCCTCCCTGCCCCCGCCTGCCCATGCCCCTGTCTTTGGCTTCTCCCCTCCCTGCCCCACGTTTCTTCCCTCCCTGCCCCCCGTCTGCCCCTCCCTTGTTTTCCCCTCACCCATTGCTTCTCTCCTCCCTGCCCTTGATTTCCCACACCCCTGCCCTCGTTTCCTATCATCCATGCCCCTCGTTTCCCCCCTTTGTACGTTCAGCCTCTTCCCTCCCTGCCCCTCCCTTCCTCCCCCCCTGCCCTTTGCTCTCCCCTCGTTACGCTCCCTTCTCCCCATCCCTGCTGCCCTCTTACCACCATCAGCCCATCCCCACGACCAGCCCCCCTCCCACCCTTCAATCCCCCCCTCCCTCTCTCTCTCTCTCTCTCTCTCTCTCTTTCTCACACACACACACACACGCACACTCCCCTCCCCCACCCCCCCCCACCTACATCCTCCCATTCTGCCCCTCCCTGCCCCTTTCCCACCCCCTCGCACGCCCCTCACCTCCCACCTCCGTGCAACTGGTTTCCCCCCTATGGTGCCACCCTTGCATCGCTCGCCCCTCTGCTCACCCTCTGCCCGCCCCTTTTCCGTGCCCTCAGTTGGCCCAGCCCCTGCCCGTTGCTGCCCCTCCCCTTGCCCCCTCAACTCCCCTGCCCCCCGTACACCCCAAGTCCCATCCAACCGCCCCCACCCTCCCCCGGCTGCCCGTTTCCGCTCTCCACCCCCGCGACCGTGTGCGGCTTCCAACCGCCCAACGGTGGTGCGCACGGGGCGTTTCTTCGCATGGGCAAGCCTCCCCGGGGGCCCCCCACCCCGCTGGGGTCGTTGTTTGGGCAAAAAAAAACGAAAAGAAAAGAATCGGACAGCGCTAAAATCGTCCTTTCTTTTTCCCGCTTGCCCCTCCCCCGGCACGTGCCGAGCAAGGGGCATAAATGGGTACAACACGAGGACTTCCCGGGAGGTCACCCAGCCCAGTACTGCTCTCGCCCACCGATAGTGGCTGTGCTTGAAACGCTGTGCCCGTGCGGTCGTGCGGGTTGCTGCCGTGTTTTGGTCCTTTGGTGCTTCCTCCTCCTCAGTCTCTCTCCCTCTCTCCTCTTTTCTTCCCACCTCCCTCTTTCTGTTCCCTTCTTCTATCCTTCCCTTCTCTTCCTACCGCCCTCTTCTTTTCCCTACCACTTCTTCTTACTCCTTCATCCTTCCTTCCTTTCCTTCTTTCCCCCTTTTCCTACAAAATATATATACCGTCCTCATAGCGATTAGGCTATGTCGAAATTTCCTAGTCTTGGAAAAACCATTATATTCGGCTTGTATTTGCTCTTCCCCTATTAATGAATAACTGCTCTCGCCCACCGGCGCTTAGCTTCGGAGTTCTGATGGGATCCGGCGTAGTAGCCGAGGTATGATCGTACCACGTCAACCTCGTGCCCCGACCGCTACACACCCCTTGCCCGGGTCCCCCCCTTCATAGTCACACCCCCTGCCCCCTCATGCCATCCGCTCCCCCCGCCCCTACCCTCCGCGTGCCCGCTCCCTTGCCGCCTCTTTTGACCCTCCCTGCCCCCCCTCGCCGTTTCCCACCGCCCGCCATTCGCTCCTCCCCGCCCGTGCGCTCCCCTCCTTTACCTTCTCCTCCCCCCTCCCCTCCTCTGCTGCACGCCTCTTCCTTCCCCTCGCCGACCCACTCCACTCCCTGCCCCTCCTCAATCCGCACCCTGCCCCTCGTATCTCGCCCCCCTATGCTTGGTTTCTCCCCTCCCTGCCCCTCGCCGCCTTTCCCCGCTCCCCACCTCCCCCCTCTCCCTGCCCCCCCCACTCTCCCCCCCCCTTGTCCTTGGCTTCCTACCTCCCTGCCTCACCTTTCCCCCCTCCGTGTGCTCAGCTTCTCCCCTCCCTGCCCCTCCCTCCTCCCCGCCCTGCCCCTCATTTTCCGCCCCCCCCCCCCCCACGCCCGGTTTCTCCCCTCCCCGCGCCTCCCTTTCTTTCTCCGTGCCTCTCCTTTGCTCCCTCCCTGCCCCCGCCTGCCCATGCCCCTGTCTTTGGCTTCTCCCCTCCCTGCCCCACGTTTCTTCCCTCCCTGCCCCCCGTCTGCCCCTCCCTTGTTTTCCCCTCACCCATTGCTTCTCTCCTCCCTGCCCTTGATTTCCCACACCCCTGCCCTCGTTTCCTATCATCCATGCCCCTCGTTTCCCCCCTTTGTACGTTCAGCCTCTTCCCTCCCTGCCCCTCCCTTCCTCCCCCCCTGCCCTTTGCTCTCCCCTCGTTACGCTCCCTTCTCCCCATCCCTGCTGCCCTCTTACCACCATCAGCCCATCCCCACGACCAGCCCCCCTCCCACCCTTCAATCCCCCCTCCCTCTCTCTCTCTCTCTCTCTCTCTCTCTCTCTCTCTTTCTCACACACACACACACACGCACACTCCCCTCCCCCACCCCCCCCCACCTACATCCTCCCATTCTGCCCCTCCCTGCCCCTTTCCCACCCCCTCGCACGCCCCTCACCTCCCACCTCCGTGCAACTGGTTTCCCCCCTATGGTGCCACCCTTGCATCGCTCGCCCCTCTGCTCACCCTCTGCCCGCCCCTTTTCCGTGCCCTCAGTTGGCCCAGCCCCTGCCCGTTGCTGCCCCTCCCCTTGCCCCCTCAACTCCCCTGCCCCCCGTACACCCCAAGTCCCATCCAACCGCCCCCACCCTCCCCCGGCTGCCCGTTTCCGCTCTCCACCCCCGCGACCGTGTGCGGCTTCCAACCGCCCAACGGTGGTGCGCACGGGGCGTTTCTTCGCATGGGCAAGCCTCCCCGGGGGCCCCCCACCCCGCTGGGTCGTTGTTTGGGCAAAAAAAACGAAAAGAAAAGAATCGGACGCGCTAAAATCGTCCTTTCTTTTTCCCGCTTGCCCCTCCCCCGGCACGTGCCGAGCAAGGGGCATAAATGGGTACAACACGAGGACTTCCCGGGAGGTCACCCAGCCCAGTACTGCTCTCGCCCACCGGCGCTTAGCTTCGGAGTTCTGATGGGATCCGGCTAATAGCTGAGGTATGATCGTACCACGTCAACCTCGTGCCCCGACCGCTACACACCCTTGCCCGGGTCCCCCCCTTCATAGTCACACCCCCTGCCCCCTCATGCCATCCGCTCCCCCCCGCCCCTACCCTCCGCGTGCCCGCTCCCTTGCCGCCTCTTTTGACCCTCCCTGCCCCCCCTCGCCGTTTCCCACCGCCCGCCATTCGCTCCTCCCCGCCCGTGCGCTCCCCTCCTTTACCTTCTCCTCCCCCCTCCCCTCCTCTGCTGCACGCCTCTTCCTTCCCCTCGCCGACCCACTCCACTCCCTGCCCCTCCTCAATCCGCACCCTGCCCCTCGTATCTCGCCCCCCTATGCTTGGTTTCTCCCCTCCCTGCCCCTCGCCGCCTTTCCCCGCTCCCCACCTCCCCCCTCTCCCTGCCCCCCCCCACTCTCCCCCCCCTTGTCCTTGGCTTCCTACCTCCCTGCCTCACCTTTCCCCCCTCCGTGTGCTCAGCTTCTCCCCTCCCTGCCCCTCCCTCCTCCCCGCCCTGCCCCTCATTTTCCGCCCCCCCCCCCCCCACGCCCGGTTTCTCCCCTCCCCGCGCCTCCCTTTCTTTCTCCGTGCCTCTCCTTTGCTCCCTCCCTGCCCCCCGCCTGCCCATGCCCCTGTCTTTGGCTTCTCCCCTCCCTGCCCCACGTTTCTTCCCTCCCTGCCCCCCGTCTGCCCCTCCCTTGTTTTCCCCTCACCCATTGCTTCTCTCCTCCCTGCCCTTGATTTCCCACACCCTGCCCTCGTTTCCTATCATCCATGCCCCTCGTTTCCCCCCTTTGTACGTTCAGCCTCTTCCCTCCCTGCCCCTCCCTTCCTCCCCCCCTGCCCTTTGCTCTCCCCTCGTTACGCTCCCTTCTCCCCATCCCTGCTGCCCTCTTACCACCATCATCCCATCCCCACGACCAGCCCCCCTCCCACCCTTCAATCCCCCCCTCCCTCTCTCTCTCTCTCTCTCTCTCTCTCTCTCTCTTTCTCACACACACACACACACGCACACTCCCCTCCCCCACCCCCCCCCCCACCTACATCCTCCCATTCTGCCCCTCCCTGCCCCTTTCCCACCCCCTCGCACGCCCCTCACCTCCACCTCCGTGCAACTGGTTTCCCCCCTATGGTGCCACCCTTGCATCGCTCGCGCCCTCTGCTCACACCTCTGCCCGCCCCCTTTCCGTGCCTCAGTTGGCCCAGCCCCTGCCCGTTGCTGCCCCTCCCCTTGCCCCTCAACTCCCCTGCCCCCCGTACACCCCAAGTCCCATCCAACCCGCCCCCACCCTCCCCGGCTGCCCGTTTCCCGCTCTCCACCCCCGCGACCGTGTGCGGCTTCCAACCGCCCACGGTGGTGCGCACGGGGCCGTTTCTTCGCATGGGCAAGCGCTCCCCGGGGGCCCCCACCCGCTGGTCGTTGTTTGGGGCAAAAAAAAAACGAAAAGAAAAAGAATCGACGCGCTAAATCGTCCTTTCTTTTTCCCGCTTTGCCCCTCCCCCAGGCACGTGCCGAGCAAGGGGCATAAATGGGGTACAAACACGAGGACTTCCGCGGAGAGGTCACCCAGCCCAGTACTGCTCTCGCCCACCGATAGTGGGCTGTGCTTGAAACGCTGTGCCCGTGCGGTCGTGCGGGTTGCTGCCGTGGTTTTGGTCCTTTGGTGCTTCCTCCTCCTTAGTCTCTCTCCCTCTCTCCTCTTTCTTCCCACCTCCCTCTTTCTGTTCCCTTCTTCTATCCTTCCCTTCTCTTCCTACCGCCCTCTTCTTTCCCTACCACTTCTTCTTACTCCTTCATCCTTCCTTCCTTTCCTTTCTTTCCCCCTTTTCCTACAAAAATATATATACGTCCTCATAGCGATTAGGCTATGGTTCGAAATTTCCTAGTCTTGGAAAAACCATTATATTCGGCTTGTATTTGCTCTTCCCCTATTATGAATAACTGCTCTCGCCCACCGGCGCTTAGCTTCGGAGTTCTGATGGGATCCCGGCGTAGTAGCCGAGGTATGATCGTACCACGTCAACCTCGTGCCCCGACCGCTACACACCCCTTGCCCGGGGTCCCCCCCCTTCATAGTCACACCGACCCTGCCCCCTCATGCCATCCGCTCCCCCCCGCCCCTACCCTCCGCGTGCCCGCTCCCTTGCCGCCTCTTTGACCCTCCCTGCCCCCCCTGCGCCGTTTCCCACCGCCCGCCATTCAGCTCCTCCCCGCCCGTAGCGCTCCCCTCCTTTACCTTCTCCTCCCCCCTCCCCTCCTCTGCTGCACGCCTCTTCCTTCCCCTCGCCGACCCACTCCACTCCCTGCCCCTCCTCAATCCGCACCCTGCCCTCGTAGCTCGCCCCACTATGCTTGGTTTCTCCCTCCCTGCCCTCGCCGCCTTCCCCGCTCCCCACCTCCCCCCCTCTCCCTGCCCCCCCCACTCTCCCCCCCCCCTTGTCCTTGGCTTCCTACCTCCCTGCCTCACCTTTCCCCCCTCCGGTGTGCTCAGCTTCTCCCCTCCCTGCCCCTCCCTTCCTCCCCGCCCTGCCCCTCATTTTCCGCCCCCCCCCCCCCCACGCCCGGTTTCTCCCCTCCCCGCGCCTCCTTTCTTTCTCCGTGCCTCTCCTTTGCTCCCTCCCTGCCCCCGCCTGCCCATGCCCCTGTCTTTGGCTTCTCCCCTCCCTGCCCCACGTTTCTTCCTCCCTGCCCCCGTCTGCGCCCTCCCTTGTTTTCCCCTCACCCATTGCTTCTCTCCTCCCTGCCCTTGATTTCCCACAGAAAGCAAACCTGCCCTCGTTTCCTATCATCCATGCCCTCGTTTCCCCCTTTGTACGTTCAGCTCTTCCCTCACCTGCCCCTCCCTTCCTCCCCCCTGCCCTTTGCTCTCCCCTCGTTACGCTCCCTTCTCCCCATCCCTGCTGCCCTCTTACCACCATCAGCCCATCCCCACGACCAGCCCCCCTCCCACCCTTCATATCCCCCCTCCCTCTCTCTCTCCTCTCTCTCTCTCTCTCTCTCTCTCTCTCTCTTTCTCACACAACACACACACACGCACACTCCCTCCCCCACCCCCCCCCACCTACATCCTCCCATTCTGCCCCTCCCTGCCCCTTTCCCACCCCCTCGCACGCCCCTCACCTCCACCGTCCGTGCAACTGGTTTCCCCCCTATGGTGCCACCCTTGCATCGCTCGCACCCTCTGCTCACCCTCTGCCCGCCCCTTTTCCGTGCCCTCAGTTGGCCCAGCCCCTGCCCGTTGCTGCCCTCCCCTTGCCCCCATCAACTCCCTGCCCCCCGTACAACCCCAAGTCCCATCCAACCGCCCCCACCCTCCCCCGGCTGCCCGTTTCCGCTCTCCACCCCCGCGGACCGGTGTGCGGCTTCCAACCGCCCAACGGTGGTGCGCACGGGGCGTTTCTTCGCATGGGCAAGCCTCCCCGGGGGCCCCCCACCCCGCTGGGTCGTGTTTGGGCAAAAAAAAAACGAAAAGAAAAGAATCGGACGCGCTAAAACGTCCTTCTTTTTCCCGCTTGCCCCTCCCCCACCGGCACGTGCCGAGGCAAGGGGCATAAATGGGTACGAACACGAGGACTTCCCGGGAGGTCACCCAGCCCAGTACTGCTCTCGCCCACCGGCGCTTAGCTTCGGAGTTCTGATGGGATCCGGCTAATAGCTGAGGTATGATCGTACCACGTCAACCTCGTGCCCCGACCG